GGGGGGGGGGGGGGTAGAGGCTTGGGTTTTGGGTCAAGGAAACACAACGTGGTGACACAATGAGTAGTCGTCACTGGCCGCTGTGACACGGGGCCGGGGCTGTCCGTGGGGCCTGTCGGACAGTCCCCGGTCTGAGAAACAATCTCCAAAAAGGAGTGGGGGGGGGGGGGGGGGGGGGAGGTTTTAATGCTACTGCAGCCGGCACAGACACACTGAACTGTAACATTAATCATACAAGCCAGAGAGAGAGAGAGAACATCAGTAAACACACCGTGTCAGGTCAAGGTAAAGATCAGATCCCACAGCATTTAACGGGACTCAATAGCACGCGGGGTATCTATTGAAAAGTCAGCGTTATTCACGGCGCGTCTCTCAGCCCCCCCTCTCTGCGCTCGCCGGAGAGAGACACGCCATTGTTCACCGAAAAAAGAGCGCGCTGAAATATTTTTCTCTGGCTACGCGAAAAAACACCGGATCAGCAGCAATTAGTAGAGTAAGAGAGAGAAAGAGAGGAAGGAAGAGAGGGGGGGACGGCAAAATAAAAAAAAAAAAGAATGATGTGGAATGTGGAGCGGAAAGCACAGGAGAGAGAGAGGAGGAAGGGATAGATGAACAAACGATGAGGAGAAGAAGAAGAAGGGGAACTTGAGTACCCAGCCAGTGCAGTTGGTGTGTGGGAGGCTGCAGCCGCCCGGAGCCCCTCATGCTTTTAAACGACCAAAAAGACTCGTTCATTGTCTCGGAAATCGGCGCGCGAATCCTCTTCATTAGTCTGCCGTTTCGCCGCTGTCTCTTCTTCCTTTTTTATTCCACTCTCTGACCACAGACTTAGCCCCCTCGCAGCTACGGCACACGTGCTCGTACGGGCCTCCACCTAGTTGCACAAGAGCTGGCAAAGAAGCGAGAAAACACGACTGAATCCCAGATTTCATTGAAAAGATTCCGTGCTTACTCCTCTGAAGCAAACATACACTGATATTTCTCATATTTTTGCTTCTGTAGATAATAAAAAACCTTCGGATTTAGGAATTCTGCCTCTGTAATGATGGTGTTTGGCGTTACGGCCTGGTCTTAAACATTAGCCTAGAACGGAGGTCAGTTGCCATGTAACCTTTTTGTGTCTTTTTTTTCCAGAAGACAGGAAGTTGTTTGTCGGGATGCTGAACAAACAGCAGACCGAGGAGGATGTTTACCGCCTCTTCGAGCCCTATGGAGTCATCGAGGAGTGCACCGTCCTAAGAGGTCCAGACGGAAACAGCAAAGGTAGGAGCCCGTGATTCAGCTGTCTGAATTATTTAGGTCACCGTCAGACAGTCCACGCAGTGTGTGTGTGTGTGTGTGTGTGTGTGTGCGCGCATCAGCGGAGGCTGCATAAACCATATGTGACATATGCTTCTGAGATAGGTCAAGTAGCATGTTCATGTAATTAGGGATATCTGAACACCACGCTGCTTGATGTGTGAGACAACCGCCAGTGGTGACAAAATGCATTTTTTTTGCTCGTGTCAGATCTTTTTTTTTTCCTGATCTGTGCGAGGCAAAACGCGGCCCGTAAGGTCTGGAATCTGTTTAAAATACGATGACAATGGATTCACACACTGCTGACTTAAAGATATCCGTCTAACCGGAAACAGAAAGGAGAACAATCAAACAAGATGATGGAACATTTTTCAGTATCAGGAAAGATGCCTGTTTTTTCTTCACACATTCGAAGTCTTAAACTTCCGCAAGGTCAGGGTGTGACGATGATGAGTAGGACCCAGATGCAGACTCAGGTGAGATGAGGAGGCACAGAATAAAACTCATTTATTTGACAAAGACAGAAAAAGGGAACACCCAAACTGGAGAAAGATGAAACCACAATGATGAAAAATAACTGACTAAACAAAACTAGACGGAGAAAAAGAGGTTGAAACGGGGATGTCAGCAGCATGATCCGACCATGACTGAAGGAAAACTGGAAAAAAACAGAAAACAAGAGAAAGCAGGTAACTAAAGAAAATTCCAACTACTGTATTAGCAAGAACAAAGGGCTCCAAGGGGCAACTTTGAACAAAAAGACAAAGGGAAACAGCATGAATCTTATTAAAAACAAATAGATAAACAAAAAGAAAAGCCAGCACAAAACCAAATTTTTATCAACATCCCAAATCTTTTGACACATAAAGCTAAGGAAAAATATTATTTTTCATTTTCTCTGAGCTATAAAAAACAGATTTCTTTGCTGTTTTCACCAGTACTGTTAAATTAGGATGAATAGATTAGTGTTCTAACATATAAATGCATTATAACTCGTATTTTATTTTGGTTTTACAAAGCTGAGCTGAATTTTACAGATGGCTTAGGTAGGTTCACTTCCTCTAATCAATGATGAATTCAAAGGTGTGGACAGAACTGTTTCTACATACTCTTTTTAACAACACGCTGTAAGTGTTGGGGACTAATGAGATCAGGTATTGTTGTGCTGAAAAAGGGTCATTTTCACACTGTGGCCGGACACCGTCCAGTGCAAATCAGTCAGGCTCCACACAGACGTTAGCATCATCACAGATTTCTGCTTTTGAACAACCTGGAGAGCCTTTTTTCCATCTTAACCAGGAGGACTAAATGTCCTTGAGCTCGTCTTTCAAGCTCATTTTAAATGAGCTCAAACTGAGAAAAAAAGCAGAGACGTTTCTTGATCTCAGAGTTTTAACTTGAATTTGAGGACGGAATGACGAAAAGCTTTCTACCACAATTGTTTTCAAAACTGTCCCTGAGCCCGTGCGATGATTTCCAAGACAGAATTATGTCTTTAATGCGCTTTTGTTTGAAGGCCTGAAGCCATTTCATGTCATCTGCCGTCCCATTTCTTTTTCCTCTCTGTCAATGACGCCATGACTGTAAATGGATAAAGCTTAAATTTCTTTTCGCTCCTCATTTCCACCCTTCATTTGAAAGAATTATTCAACTTGACAAGTCCATTGATTTTCTATCAGGTGTTTCTGTTACATTAAGAAAAATAACGTTTTCAGTTCCTGTTTTTCAGACAAATTTTTATACGAGCACATTTGTAAAGGATTTTTGTTTTAATTGTGCAGTTGAAACATTTGGCAATTATTTCCTTTTCTTTTTCATACAATTAGCAGAGCGTCACCTCAGTTTCTCCTTTGCAGTTCATCGGAATTATTATTTTATCTTTTTATCTCTTTCATTAAAAAATGCATGGACTTGTTGATTATAATAGTCAGAAATATTTTTGTTAGATGAAAGCATAACCAATAAAATGCAGAGGTCAGACCACAAATAAAGTTTCTAGTAGCCACCGATAAACCCCTTTTTATGAGTAATTACTATCTGTAAATATAGCTATGAATAAAATGCACTTAAAGACTTTTTCAGTTTAATCTCAACATATTCTGTATCTGACTTTTACAACGAAACTTGAACAGGGCGTCCTTCTCCCAGTGTCACTATGTCAAGCTTTTAGCTTTAGAAGGGATGTGCTACTACATCTTTTACTGCGTCTCTGTTTCTCTAGGACTGTTTTGTAGTGCAAACTAAAGGGTAGGTTTCTTTTTGATATTTTGAAAACTTTTGGAGAAATCAATTTCTATGATATGCAGAAAACACTGAAGGGACCAGGGGGTTTTCATGTTTCTGCAGCCTATTCCCTGACCGCTGCTTTTAGAAAATTGAGGGGAGGAGGAGATGAAAAAGATGGATGTCAAAACAACTCAACTGTCCCCACTGTGAAAATGGGGACAGCCAAGGGGAGTAGCATTCCTCTTTGTGGCTCTCCGATATATTTGTACTTATCTGAGTCAATGTCTAAGTTGAAGATATTGAACTCGCAGCACTTCTATCGGAATAATCGTTGTTTTTGCTTTTTCGGCACAGTTTTTTAAGCACGTTTCTGTAATTTAATCAATGGCGAAAGATTTCTTTTTCCAACGCGGGTATTTGCTAGCCTTCTAGCATGGTGCTGCCAATCCATGGCTTGCAGAGTATATAAGAGTTAAAAGCTTAATTATAGCGGTATATAGTGCGCGCTGCTGTAGAAAAGACCTTGTACAGGTCACCGGGAGCTCTGTGTCTCCTCAATCCATAGCTCAATAGGGGGCAGTGGTTTGACAGCTGAATGGGCATCTTGATCGGCCGGTGTCCACAGGGGTTGGCCCATTAACAGAGGAAGAATGGCAGGGTGACTGGGTCAAGCTGGATAGATGATAAGAAGCATAAAGAACCAAAGACTGAATAATAGAAAAAGAACCGTAAAACAAAATTAGGCGACATGGGGCGCAATCAAAAGAGGACACGGCGGGTCGGTGCGAGCTTCTTTTGCTCGCGTTTCCGTGTTTTGGAGAAGATTTGGGACCGGTCATTTCAGGTCCCCGCCGTTCTTTTGGAGCAACTGTGACAGCTACGTTTGCTGTGAGACTTATTGGGATGGCTGGCTCTGTTCAGAGGCGCAGAGCCTCTGCAGGACTTCTGTCTGAAAGCAGCCTCTGCTGCGCTTCTCAACTAAAACAGACTTATGCAACGCTCCCCTGCTCTTCCCACCGCCGGCATTAGCACTTCTTTTTTTTTCCCAGCACAGCACCGACTCACTTTTTCTCTTTGATTCAACGTCGGACGCGTGAAAAGTAGCGGGCCGCCTCCCGTCAACGACACACTCCAAACCGATTTTGACCTTTAATTCCCAACCCCAACCACCTGGTGCGACGAACCCGGCGATGAGTGTCGGCCATTTTCAGTTTTCCAGGGCAACAACAATTGCACGTGTGTCACCAGTAATTTCAGGGAATTAATTTTGTAATGGGTGGTCATGTTTCCTTTCTACGCCAAACATCCAAATGGAAAGAAGAATAAAACCCTATAAAGCATATATTAAGATGACATGACAACATGATTACAATAATTGTGATCATACATAACAAGTCTGCTTATGTGGTAACTAAATGTACGATTTGAGAGAGGGCATTTATGGAGTTTTATAACGATTACACATGGAGACAAAGCATTGGTGAAAGTCATTACGTTAAAGAGGCCATACTTTTAGTAATGAGGTAATAGTGCTGGATAGTAAACTTTGATCCCGCAAAGGCAATCAAACATTTATAGTCCTCACAACAGTCGGAGCGAATAGCGCCGTGGTCTCTCGTGTTTGGACAGTCTCCCCCTCATTTCCCTCAAATATCAATTAAACAATTAGCTCCTTCTTCACTGGTTTGAGTTGAGTTCGGTTTAGCTAGTAGTTAATATGCACAGACAGGCATGTGGTGCTAAATAGCATCCTTTTCTGCTTCATCAGTACAATCTTTAGCCTCCAGCTTCTGCCTGCTTGTCTGCCTGCCTAATGCCTGGAGTGGAGCAGCCTGCTGTGCAACGAGGGCTTCTGCCTGCACAGAGATTTCTGCGGTGTCAAATATAATCCAACATCCTTCATTAACATCACCTCAAACAGTCTCACAGCTGAATATATTCATGATACACGTAAACACTGACCGCATGTGCATTGTATGCAGTGTTGGGGAGTAACGGATTACATGTAACGACGTTACGTAATTTAATTACAAAAAAAGAGTAACTGTAATTAGTTACAGTTACAATGAGAAAATATGTAATTGAGTTACAGTTACTTCTGAAAATATTAAGAATTACAAATTTAGTTACATTTTTTAAAAAATATAAAGAAAAACCTTTGCAAAATATGCAACTCACTGATAAACGAAGCGTATTGATTTACTAATATTTGACTGTTTGGTGTTGATGCATGACAAACGTTTATCGATGTCTATGACCTAGCCTAGCCTAGCCTACCTAGCCTACCCAACTGTAGGGTGACCAGACGTCCTCTTTTTCCCGGACATGTCCTACATTTCAGACTAGGGTTGTCAAAAGTATCGATACTTAAAAAAGTATAGATAGTAAAATGTTGTATCCGGATACGACTGACTTGTCTCTGATTTATTTATGTATTTATTTACGTTGTTTATGATCATTAACAAGACGTTAGCCTTGAACTGCTAGCTGCGGCCAATAGCTAATAATAACATGCTAAAATTAATCATGGGTTAATACTCATTAAAACCTTAAAGTAATCAAAAAGTAATCAAAAGTAATTAGTTACATTACTTTTTTAAAGTAATCGAAAAAGTTACACTACAATTACATTTTAAACAAAGTAACTTGTAACTGTAACGGATTACATTTTTAAAGTAACTTACCCAACACTGATTGTATGGACGGCTCTTGTGGGTGTTTTGCGCTTACGTGGTGTGTGTCTGTTCTTTTTTTCCAGGTTGTGCCTTTGTGAAGTTCTCCACACACACCGAGGCTCAGTCTGCCATCGGTGCCCTGCACGGCAGCCAGACCATGCCAGTGAGTACAGCTTTTTTTTTCCCTCAAATTTAATATCACTGTGGTGTAATTCCATGAAGTGTGCATACAGGGGGCACACAAAGGAGACGCACAACAGCCCGGTGCGCTCCAGCTCTGGATTTAAAAGTGCAAACCATAAAGTTTGTGCTCTTGATTCACCTCCAATTTCAGTTTTTTAATCGACTTACAGCGAGGGCAGCCATCCTCATAAATATCCACGCTCTGAAAACAGAAAGGGCCAGAAACACCTCTCTGTCTCTAATATTAGCAGGGTACTTTAAATGAAATCCTAATCTAATTTCTAGATAAAGCTCTTTAGAGTCATGATTGAATTTTGGATGACTCATCAAACAGTAGTTCTGTTTGCTTGTTCGGTAAAAAAAAACCCTCTAATGTGGGATTATTTTTCTTGTTGTGCATGCACAATGTGTCCTCTAAAATCTCGCTGAATAGGATTTAGGTGATCTCAAAAACGTTCTCATATGTGTTTGGCTCATGTTTGGCTCTGTATTCCTGATCAAGTCCAAATTAAAGCTACTTTGTCTGCACGCCAAACCAAAATGGAGCTCCTTCCTATTGCATTTGGACATAAGGACAGACAGTGTTGTGTGATACAGTGGTCTGAAGTGGGCTCTTCTTTTCCTGGTTTTTGATTAGAGAACGCTCATCTCAGAGAAGCTAGAAGCCCTCAGCTCCCCGCTCCCGTGTCACAGGTGTGGTGTTTCCACTGTGTGATGTCTGTATTAATGGCCGCCAATGCGAAGAGCCGCGGGAAAAACCACTGGAAGCCAACTGTCCCATTTCTGCCCAACTTCTGAGTCAATCTAAGTGCAAATGACTCCAGGTCACAGGGAAACTCTCCGAATGTCCATTCTCCATAGATAACTCTCCTTTTATGTTGCGCCATCTGACTATCTCTGCGAGCTCTCCGCCCTCGCTCGTCTCTCTTTGGCAGCCTCTCGGGATATTAGGGAATAGACTTGTTTACTCCACCTTTCACCACATTGGCTGCTGAATTATTCATCTAACTATAAGCAGGGTGCTGAAAGGAAGGTGGTGGGGGGGGGGGGTGGGGGGGGTCGAGAGACAGAATGAGAGGACAGAGAGGCAAAAGAATGAGTGAATGGACAGGATTTATACCTCCTGCTCCGTTAAATTGATTATAGAAATCTGATCAGCATCTCATATCCTGTGGCTGCTCGAAGAGAGAGCACAGTGTGCCTGCCTCGCCGAGATTAGCAGACCACCGGTGGGCCATTATGCCTCAGCAGGACTGTGATTTTCCGAGCAAAAAACTCCCATTTGTGTAGCGAAAATCCTCGAAAAAGACCAGCGACCGTAGATCCTGTGTGTTCAGCGTCACCCGAGTGAGCCAGAGCAACACAGACACCACGAAAACTCACACAGGTGGAAGGACGGCAGCACTGGGGAGTTAAAGGGACACACAATCAGTCAAAAAACACTAACAAAAAGTTCTTAAGGACAACATTTCCTTGCAGAGCTTAAAACAATGGCCTCTTTGCCTTTTATCAGGGCCTCATTTGAGCGTTCTGAGGAGGTGTAGCAAACTGGGCCCACGCTGACGTGCACGTTATAAGATGATAAGAGTCTCACAGACAACAACAAACACAGAGTGAACAAAAAACCTTTCCCTAACTGCGGCAGATCTCCTGCCAGTCCCAAAATCTGAGCAGATTTCTCCCATTTACGACGGCGCACGCTCGCCCATGCGTCAGCGTGTGCGCGCACGCACAAACAGGCCCAAACAGAGGCGCCCCATTTGCATGCGCACATGCACATCCATGCCTTAATGCTCCCCTCACTGTCACACGCTCGCACAGCCGCAGACCGGGGTCAAAGGCTCCCTGACTGATCTTATTTTCCAGCTCGGAGGACTCGAGCGGAATACATTTGTGTTATTCATGTAGAGGGAAATGGGCATTTTGTATGTATTCTATGTATGTCTGAGTTGGAAGGGGATGGCACGGAATCTGCATTGAGTGTTTGCACATATGAGGAGTGTGTGTGCATGCATTAAGGTCACCGCGTATATACAATAGATATATTTGACTTTGTGAGAAAAACCCACCGGCATACTTTAGTGTGTTTATGTGTGGGCCTCCATGATGGACACCAAACTGAAATGCCATTGCAATTTTACAAATAATGCAACTTATTCAGGCTAAAAATGTTCGATTCAAAAGGCACCAGTGCCTTTTTTCATTCCACACATGTCACGTTCTGGCCCTCTCGGTCTGTCTCTATCGTGTGATCACAGTTGCAGAGCCTCCGTTCTGGGTATGAGTGCTTCAATTAAACATTTAAACGCAGGGGCTGTACAGCAATTTGCTCGGATTCAGTGGGGCCATGTAGCAAAGTAAGTCCAGGGACGGAATTACGCAGAGACAGGAGGGGAGGGGGGGGGGGGGGGGGGCGGGGCCGGGGGGCAGGGCGGCTTTTTTTTTTTTTTTATCGAGTTGGAGATGGTCTCGGCTGACACAGACACAGAGATGGAAACACCGGTGGAAACGATAGAGGGATAAGGACGCAACAAAGGAAAGCAAATGAGTTACAGCTTGTTTAGAAGAGAGAGCAGAGGAGACATGAAAGAAAGCTTAGAAATATAGAAACGGCACAGCTTTAGAGAACACACGCAGGAGCACGTCGTGTGTCACCGAGTGGGTGGAAATGAAAACCGGTTTAGTCCAAAATTAAACAGCATTCTACATATAAGCTATAGGTCAAGTCTGTCATTTCTATATATATATTATATGCATCTCTATACAGTCTGTAAATGCAGCTTTGCATTGTTGGAATACCATAAATAAACCGATGTATGAAGAAGAGAGAATTAGCCAAAGGATTGTTCCAACCATAAGTGAGTAACCTGAGTTGCTTATGTTCATTTGACATTTGAAACAAAGCAAACAGCTTACAAATGACTGAGTCGGGGTTATTTTCGACCTCCTGCCTCCCGTCCCAATAGAGGCGTAGCTACACTGTGTAAACTCTAAGGTAATGGAGCAGACAGCGTGCGGTCTGCTTAAAATTGCAAATGTGTTTTATTCCATCGAGTGGGAACAGAGGAGAAATGTCTCTAATAGCCGTAGTTGCTGGTGCTCGGCTGTGTGGAAACGCACCCCCCACTGGAAGCTTGCTTTTGCTCCCAGTAAGACCAGACTGGTGTTGTTTTTGGGTGCTCCAGTTTCCCTCCACCAGTCGGTCCATGGGTGCTTATCTACGATTTTCACATTATAGAAGCGGAGCTTGGATCCAGTCCACCCAAGACCAGGAAGTGAATTGAGCTTGTATAGAAACTTGAATAAAAAAATGCAGCTGTACAATTAGACACTGAATACATGTGCATGTCATTTTCCAGCTTATATGCCCGTGTGTGTAAAGAAGTGAGATGAAACAAAGTCTTAATTTGATTAGTTCTTGAATAGAAGGTTGATTTTTAAACTGTGATGAATGAGTGAATGATGAAGCCAGATGTTCTGTGGGCTAAAGGCCATTTTCATTGACAACACAGTCTGCATTCAAATTAGAAACGTCTGTTTGCCGGAACGCAGTGACCAGATATTAAGGCCATCTGAGTGGAAATTTTAGGTTTTATTTCTTGGATTTGGCATCTGTGTATGCATGTCGTTTGCATAAAGGGAAAGATGGACGATAATAGATGCACACATTTCCTCTCTTTTCAAAAGCAGCTTCAGGTCCGGACACAATTATGTGAAAAAAAGAATATTTACATTCTTCTGCATGTGGCATTTGGGACAGTCGAGTCCATGCAGACCCTTCTAGCAAACAGATGGATGGATGTTTGTAACATATTACAGGCAGCTTTCCGATGACCCTTTTCCACTAGTACCTACTCAGCTCTACTCAGTTTTATTCAACTCACCTTGGCTGAGTTTAGGTCCTCTTCCATTAAAAGTAAGGTCGTAACAGCAAGCCATCCCAGAGGAAGGTGACACAAACGGGACACAACAGCGAAGGACATCTTTGCTGGATGACCCTTGTTATTGGTGGCGTTGACCCTTTTTTTAAAAAGAAGCAACGCTCTCCCGAAGAAGTCGATGACTCATCCGGTGAGATCCGGTCTGTTGTCAGCTCAACTCAACTGACTTTGAAGCCTTTCTGTATAGCTGTTAAAACCAAAACTGGAAGAGGTTCCAGGTCAGAGCGGAAATGCAGAAAAGTCTAGTGGGTATTGGTGGAAAAGGGCCCCAAGAGAGGTAACCCGCATGGTTAAAGGCATGGTGGTGGAAGTGTTATGGCTTTAGGCTGATTTTAGCAGCGTCAGACATAATTCAACTGTGAGTTCAGCATAGGATCCAACCCTCTTTACAGATCAAGTTTTCGATAGTAGATTTCAGCGAGTGAGCAAACACATCGAGGTTTGGGGAAATGGACACTCCAATAGAAAGAACAATACCATGTTTTCAATCTAATTTTATTTAAAAAAAAATGCATGGATTTGAAACAATCAGTACCTAAAAGTATGCATCGGCCTTATCTTTGGTCTTCATTTTTGAGAGGGGATGAAATATCTGTTTACCCAAATATGTCAGGAAAACTGGTCGAACTTCTAACTTTTCATCACAAATGCGCACATGTCTATGTTTTAAATTCATGCACTCTCATTCGGCTGGGAGGGGGACCAATGCAACACTTGTTGGTTATAAGAAGGGACAAAAAAAAAGATGCTGACTTCCTCTTTGGTGCAAATCTTTGCGGTGGCTTTTTCTTCTGGCTGTGTAACTCCTCTTCCTTCAGTGGCTCTAAAGGCAGCCGGGAGCCGCCCGGCAGGGGGATTCTGCACACACTTGGCAGCTTAAAAATTTAATGAGACTTTCACTTCACACTTCATCCTGCTCTCTTTATGGCGATGGAGATTCTGCTTACTGATATCCTGACGGGCCTAAATGGGAAAAACCTCGGAGATAAACAAATGTGGCAATGGATGCTTAGCCGACAAGCCGCGTGATTCAGGTGTCCTGAGGAGAGCCGGTGGGGGGGCAATCTCGCTGCACTGAGCTCCTCCTGAAAAAGCTTTGCTCATAGCGCGACACTCGGCTTAGAGAGCCACGGAAAAAAGGCGCAATGCTCTTACGTAACCAGACAGGTCAATTCTCCACAAAACTTTCTTTCCTTCTGTCTCTATTGTTTCTGTTATTTCAGCAGGAGCTCTCCTCTCCAGTCAGAGTCAGACTGCAAAGTTCCTTCCAACTTAATCTGTTCAGATTATATACCTCAGCCTTTCCCCCCCCCCCAAATTAGAGCAGCAGAGCCCGGGATGCAGGACTCATTACCAGGAGGGATCTAGCTTTTTTTTCTTTGAACTGTGAGAGCGAGTTAAAATATTCAACATGCGCTTCTCCATCCTGGTCCTGCACTATCCTGACCCCCACAGAAAGAAAGTTAGGCAGAGGTGCTGAAAATAAACACATTAAGGAAACAAAAAAGCTGATCTGGAAAATGAATATCGGAGAAACTCATTTCATTGTTAATATGAGAAAAATTGCTTAAGGGATGTCTTTCATATTAAACTGTTCTGTATCCTGGTTCGGTGGTGTTTATTATAGAGCTGGGAAGAGTTATGGCACATATCGCTGGATAAAGAAGCAACGCGATTTGTCATTTGTCCGGAAGGAAGCGCGGGTGTCGGCTAGTTTGACGACTAGTCCGTTGGACAATTAGCAAGCTAGTTTGCCTGTCAGTAAATCGTTCAACTATCTAGACAACCAGTCATTAACTCAGACAGCCAACTAACTAACTGGCCATGCACCTATAGTCTTTCAAGCCTTCGACCGAGCGAGCCCAGAGGAGAGGGCAGGGGAGAGTATTGAGCAAAGTGGGGAGAAAGGGAAAAGGAGAGCATAAAATCTATAAACTACAGTCGAAAAGTCCAATGCCTGTCTTAGGGTATCTTTTGCTATCTGTGGATGTCTTTATTAGGAGGGAGACCTCAGTTAGAGATGAAATTGCAGACAGGGAAATTAACAATGGCCGTTATTATTGATGCCGTTTTTAAACAAAAAGCGCGTTTGTGGTCTATCACAGCTCCTTCTGGATCTATCCACAATAATGTAGTCACACAATCCGGTAGCCCCCCCCCCCCCCAGGCAGTCCCAGCACATCAACAGTCACCGCTATTATTGACAGCCTTGCATCAATTTCCCGGGACCTCTTATCATGTTTGACACACAACCTTTCTGAACTGTCAGATCAGAGTAATATTTTGGCCTTTTACGTGGATCGATGGGCCGGTTCGGGGGCGCAGAGGGCAGGAAAGAGGCGGAGCGCGCTAAAGGTCAGCTGTTGCGCTCAATCATTTGAAGATTCTTAATGAAGGGTGTGTGGCGGACACACCTGCTGGTTTCATTATCAGGCTGCATAAAGAGGTGATGTTGATTAAGGGTCGTCTGGCCTTAAGCGAAGCCCCACGGAGGGAGCTGACAGACAACAGGCTAGTCCCAAAAAGGAAAGGGTTCCTTTGAAAAGCGGCTGTGAGGAGTAGTTTCAAGGATGAAGGCACAAACGGAGAAAAGCCGAGGTGAAAATTGAAATTACAGTGGGGGAAATAAGTATTTGACCCCTTGCTAAGAATGCTTATTTTTCCTCATCAGATGGTTATCAATTTTTATAAATTCATATGATGTGACCTGATTATCTGGAATTTTCTTTGGGATTCTGTCTTTCACTGTTAGAATGTACATATGATTAAAGTTATGGATCGTTGCATTCTTTGTAAGTGGGCAAACCTGCTAAATCAGCAAGGGGTCAAATACTTATTTCCCCCACTGTATATGTCATCCACAGTGGAAAAAAAGAAACCAGGCTCCCTGCCAGCCATCTGCCTATTTGCTCACTCATAAGGGGAAATATACATTCAAATCCAAATGCACATAATGATGTCTCATGAAACGTTGGTGTACTGATGGTCTGATGTCCCATGTCCAGGCTTCCTCACTGATTTTTTCTCTGTTTTATTGCTTGTTTTTTTCTCCCCTTAGGGCGCTTCCTCCAGCTTGGTGGTCAAGTTCGCCGACACAGACAAGGAGCGCACCATCAGACGCATGCAGCAGATGGTGGGGCAGTTTGGCATCTTTAATCCAGCCATCGCCCTTCCCTTCAGCACCTACAGCTCTTACGCACATGCGGTGAGTTGGAAAAGGCGTGTCTTCGGGCCCCCAGAGAAATTTATGTACATCAGATGGATTATGGCCCGCCGCGCAGTGGACACATTTGTGGAAATGAATTTGAGAAGTGCTATGAAACTCAGCGTTTTTTGATATTGTCGTTCTCGGACAATAAAACTGTTAGGTCAAGGTGTGCCGGTCTTTAAAGAAGCTGTTAAATAATGCAAATATACGTCCCGTCATCGCTGTGTCAAATGACTACTTGTGTGTGACATTTTCTGCTCAACGTGTCGAACCCGTGGAGATTTAGGAGCCAGCTTTACAGTTCCTCTGTCAGTGTCAGTGCTCTCAGCAGAAATGAAAATCCACCGTAGACTGCTTAACCAGCAGAGATAATATCTAATAACTCTGAAACATAAGGAGACGTTCAACAGCGAGAGAGATGGATATTTTTTCTCTGACAGTCAGAAAAAAGGAAAACACACCTAAGACGGGTTGCTTAATCCTGATCAGGCCATCCGCTTCAATAGTACAGGTCATATTGTTTAGACAAAAAAAGGATATATTTTCCTCAGGCTTGACCTTAATTGAAAGCCTCAAAGGACCCAGAAAAAAAACAGACTGACAAAACAGATTTTTGTACATACGCACATATAAAATATATTTTTCAAGGCAATAAATATTTCTTGAAATGACAGAAAAGCTCCAGTAAGACTGAGTGTTGCATTGAACTATCGACCCTACCGTCACACCAGTCCTATTTTTACTGGTTTGACACCTAAAAAAAGGATTTTACTTGTTTAGTTTGGTGAAGCTAAATCCTGTTTTTGCCCACCTCTCCGAAGCTGTGGGTCAGTGCCGCTGGGCTCACAGACAGTATTTTCTAGTCTGAAGTACCCTTCACAACCCTCGGCCATTGATTACTTTCAGTGGTGTTTTAATGATTTAAAGCGACAAACAAATTAAGCTAAAACCTTTCACCGGGCCGTATATTTTCCCCCTCAGATCCATCTGATACGAAAAACCTGTAAAATATGACACATATTGACCCGGTAGATTTGCTGATGTTTGCTCTTTGATGCCAAGTCTGTCATTTTCTGTTTGTGCTGTGATCACCGTGGGGCTCATCACCGTGTTTTTCACCAGGTAACACAACTCCGTGCACATTTTGGACCTCTCGGAGAGGTTTTGCCTTTTTTCTAACTCGTTCTATTGCCGGATAGGTTTGAGAACACACAAGAAAAATCCCATTCCTTTCTCCTTTGACGTGGCAGATATAGTCGTAGCCGAAAGTGAACCTGACACGCTATTGTCGCCACCCCCAGCCCCCCTGCTCTTTCCCAGTTCCGGCCGGGTTTTTTGGCTACTCTCGGCACGTAGACACATTTAGTTGGCTTGTACCCTCCAACCCCCTTCATCAGCTCCCCTCTGCCCTCCCACCTCCGCTCGCCCAGCCCCTCAGGGCATGGCACCATACACACACAGCAGACCCTTGGCTCTTTGATCAGTTCAGACAGCTCGTGCAGCCCGTCTCACCATACTCCCCCCCCCTCACCCTCAATCACACTGCCTCATACCCTCCCTCCCTCCCACTGTCCCTCCCTATGGGCTCATGAGATGCTACGGGGGCCACAGCTGACTCAGAATATTCCACAGGCAACTTATCTGCATATAGAAACTTCTTCCCTGCTGAGGCAGAGCACACACACACACACACACACACACACACACACCCCCCCCTCACAGCGGACGCTACCATATGCATGCACATGCACACCATCTACTTGAAGGAAACTAAAATGACTTTACAAAGAGCCTTCCATCCAGAGCTGAGATAAAAAAAAAAAAGCCTCTGTCACAACACAGGGCATAAATACACATAATGCATCTGCCCAGAATTTATTTTCTGTGGGGGGGTGGGAGAAACACAAATTCATCGACTCCTGTATTAATTTGAATGTAGAAGTTCCTTTTTTTTTTTTTTGCCCTTTTTCTAAATGGCAGGATTAATTGTTGATGTTGGCCAGGTCTTGGGGGCTTATTCATTTCCCCCTCATTTTCATATCACAGCCATGGGACCTACTGTGAAATGTGCAAATTGACCATCCCGGAGTAATTGCGAGGCCATCTCTCCGGCGCTCCTCTCCAGTAAAACTCCCACCTTCATTACCATTCATGAAATGCAGCCCTTTTCCCGGGAAAATGTGGAGAAATGCAAATGTTTCTGGGGTGGTGGAGGCAGTGGTGGTCTGCGGGGAGACCATTGTGCCCCGCTCAGGTTGGCCGTGACTTTTATTTACTGTGGCAGAGACCCGTGTCGGCTCATACAGACGCACACCGGCGTGCGCACACTCACTCACCCACCCAACGCTATTTCTCCTCCTCCGCTCTCTCATATGTACTTATAATAACACAAAGAGCAGGATCGCGCTATGAAATTGAGTTCTGGCGAAAGTAACAAGGGCACGGGGGGGGGGGAACTTTAGCATTTGAGAGAATCTATTACCATTAAATTTGAAGTACAAATTGCACACGTGTATTTTTTTAGACGGGCAGATTACGAGGCACGAATGATGCTCGCGAAGGTGAGACCGTCCTTGTGTTTGCAGATAAACGCGAATATAACGAACGCGCCAAAAAACAGAAGAAAGTTCCAGCAGAAACTCAGCGGGACTCAGAGGGTTTCGGCCTTGGAGATAAGCTCACCTCAACTTCCGACTATGTAACGAGTACACAAAGAAACAGCGACAGATTATCCGTAAAGTCTGATCTATCATAGCTCAATTAAGACCTTTTTAATGACTATAAACTGTTGTTTTCCTATACGGATAGAGGTGGTGAAGGGAGGTTCCAGCTTGGTCCAGCCTGTGTGCCTGTGTACCCAGACTCAGCGGCTGCTGGCCGCATGCGCACGGCGCCCAGACTTGATTTCACTGCAACCACCGGGAGTGTGCCGGAGTGATACGATGAATGTTTCATTTCTGCAAGATAAACGGCGCACACTCCCCCAAGACGCCAAACCTGCAGTGACAGAAAAAGGACTTTATCTCCAAAGACACACTGCATGCTCGCCTACTCTCCATATACACCGGCCAAGAGAAGACGAGGGGGCAAAGTATAGGATGCAGACACGTGGGGAGGTGTTATATATATATAGCTATAACCAGTGAATACAGTAAATGGTGAATTCAAAGAGCTAGCTCTCCAGTACAGCAGTGGATGGGATTATAGAGTTGAGCTGACAGCCAGTAAATTGGATTTTAGTCAAACCAGGAGAGGGAGGGGCCCTGAACACAAATTGGAGGGGTACAACATATGCCAAAAAAATGAGAAATGGGCCGTTTTTATGAGAGACACAGACACTGGTGTGTGCTCTGACAGGACACAACCTATTTGCAAAAAGGTGATTTCATAAAACACAAGCCAGGCAAAGCGAGGTTGTGAGATTCCAGTTTTAGAATGACAGGAACTCAGATACGAATTGCTCAATTTCAGTGATAAAACCAGCTTTCCTTACTTTTTCTGTGTTCTGTGTTTTCTGTGAATTTCTGTACACAGATGCCACTTTTTTCCTCTAATTTTCCTAAGGTCGGTCTCTTGATGAAGGGAATTATTTTAGCTCATTTTGTGGGAGCTGAGTTTCAGCTGGAAGGGCAACTTCTCTGGCTCAGCGTGGCTCTGGTCTCCAAAAGACCCGAGGAAGAGGAGGAGGAACGGCTTAAGTTGGTGCTCACCGCGGCGGTATCAGGGTGGATGAGAGGGAGGATGATGACAGTAAGCTCACATTAGGAAACATCTCCCCCTGTCGGAGGGATCCGCGCTCAAAGCCAGCCTTTGCCACACAGCAGACATGAGGAATGATGGCGACAAATTACAGCATCATTTGGCTGTACTGTAAACCTCCCACACACACACACACACACACACACATACAGCAGCAGTATGTGTGTGTGTGTGTGTGTAACCTGATTTCGCCGTGTAACGCTGGTGAGGACCAGCTTTTGACAGCCCCCTGCATGCGCCTCGACACAAGCGCTCATGCACACACACTGCAAAGTGCATCGGAAATGAAAAAAAAAAATCCTATTAAAATCTGTCTGTGGAAATGCAGCCTGCTAGCATGGTGGTAACAAATGTGGCCCTTCAGGACTATTCCCGAGTCTTTTTAGTTCACCTCATTGAGCTGCTGTCTCCTTCTCTCTGTCATTTTTCAAGATTTTCCACCCTCTCTGCCCCTCTGCCTCTCCCCCTCTTTCGTCATTGGTCGGCCGGACTGCGAGAGGTCACATGTCACTGTGCTAAAAAGTCAGCAAGTCACAGAGCGGCGCAACAGAGATAATTGCCATGTGATAAAGAGGTGATTGCCTGCAAGCACCAGGGGAGAATAATGCCATCAGGTTGCAATAAAAAAAGCAGATGTCTGACACTAAATGAATGCAGCCCAAGCACGGGAAGCCGCCTTTTCCTCCCTTTCATCTCACGCACTCCTCTTTTTGTTCCGCTTGCTTCTGTCTGCCTGCTCTTCAGTGTTTCCACCAGGAAAGAAAAAGGCGGCGAGAAAAGAAAGGCTGGTGTCTGTAATGATGATGACTCAGTTGTGCTCATTCTTCATCAGAGACATTTGCTATCTGCTGTGCGGCGCATAAATAAAGGAAGACAGGACTTTTGAATAAAAAAAAGCATTTGGACTTTTTGAGAGATGAGAAATAATGATATGAAAAGTTAAATGGAGGGACTTTGATTCCGTCAACATTATCGCTGTTTTTTACCCTTGCCATGTATTTTTCTTTTTCTTTTTTCTTTTTTCTTTATCCCATTCAGTGCATCAGCCACTGCATTTAAATATGATTACATGCTTGAATCTCCTATTTGCTACTTTTTGATGTGGAGCACCAACTAATGCCAGAGTTTTTATCCATGACGACCTGACAGATAGCATTAGAGATTGGATTTTCGGTCGAGAGGAACACATTCTGGACAAGCTACTATTTAGCCCCTCTTGGTTATTACACTATCCAGGCCTGCAGTTTATATGAGGTCACAATGGCCAACCTCATTAGAGCCAGCCTAAAGTCTTCAGTCCTCTGAAAAACACACCGCCTGAGAAAGTATCCAAACATTAATGGTTGTGACAGTGTATTTATTCTGAATACCAGCGCAGTATAAAGTCAAACTCTGTTCAGATCCAGACCAGTCGCATCATTCCCCGAGCCGGAGATCCCCGTCCTCTTTATTTGGTTCTGTGCTGTTGCTTTTGTCACATTTCTTTCTCTGGTTCTGTCTCCTTCTTCCTCTTTTTTTTTTTTAGCAATGCCAGCTTAAAGGCTCAATTCATCTTGTTTCGAAATAAAATGGATGATCCCCATTTGTCACGTTGATAAAAAATTATGCAAATGACAAAAAAGGTGTTAATAGCTAGCCGTGGCGAGGCACGCGGCTAATGGATGACACGCCAGCTACTGGGCACTCTGCAGCAGGACGGTCACTTTCAGGTTAGCTGACAGGGCCACAGAGGGAAAATAATTGGCTTTTCCCCGTGCAAACACGAGCAGAGTGCGGTCCTATACGTCCGCGGCCTCGCATCGCGGTCATTAGCATCAGCGCCGGTGGCAGAGGAGTTTGATTTCTGCCTATACGAGTCAGTCTCGGGCCACGGCCATCAGCATCTCCCCTGACACACGCCAGCTATGCAGTATTAAACAGATGCGGAGACGAGGGCAAGAGGTTGGCCCCCGCTCTGTTTGTATTCCTGCGCCACACAGGTCTGCATGCCTGATGGGCAGCTACACAGCCTGCAAAAAGATTATTGATTCCCTAGATAAACCCGCTGGTTTCACAAGCTGCAAAAAGCCATTGTACAATGATGGATTTTTTTTTTTCCGAATTAGGCATTCAGAGGGTGGTTTTGCACCGGGAGGATTTAAGAAGAGTGTGGAAGCTCTAACGGTCTTGATCACTCTTCATGCGTGTTGTGTTCATGTGTGTGCGCGTGTGTGTGTGTGTGTGTGGGGATCTTTACGTGCGAGTGCGGCTCAAGGCGGTGGGGCATTTGAGCTTGTCCTCTGCATATGAATACACACACTCCATGATGGAAATAGTTCAGCTCGCACTTCTCACTTCGTGCTAAATAGAAATGCAGAGCGAACGGAGGCTATTGATTTGATCTCTTTGTCGGATTGTCCAGCAGGTGAAAATTGACTGCCATTGACTAAACATGCTTTTTGACTAACATGGTCTTGAATTCGAGATGCTCGGTTTGACAACATTCCTTTAACAATTTGGGGGCTCAGATTCCAAAGAACCAAAAGAATGTAGTCATTCAATGACGGCTATCCTGAATGCATTGTCCTTAAAAAAATAAAAAAGCTCCTTTTTTGTAAGATGCTAGCTTACCGAGAAGCCAAGAGGGTGTCCTGTTTGATTATGAAGCACAGAAAAAAATGTTTAGCGCTCGGCTAATGTCGGCCTGCAAGCAGCAATCATCGCAAACACATCAGAAATATCAGCGAGGAGCAGAGGGAAGAAAAAAAAAGGGACGAGGGGTGGGGAGGCAGGAAAAATGGCATTTCCATACAGCCACACAAAGTACTGTGAAGTTTGACAATGGCGCGGAAAAAAGCCGCGTGACTCTGCAAACTTTGCCGGTACCCAGAGCACGGAGATAATGTGCACATGTCAATGCCTTGATTTGTATGAGCCCAACAGACAGCTATTAAATCGTTTTCTGCAGCTGGTGACAGGCTTCCAGCTGGGAGGAGAGACGGATTCACTAAACATAGGTTGACAGGCTTCTTTTTTTTCTTCTCCTTCTTTTTATTCCGCTCTACTTTCTCTGCACTTCCCGTGCACTCCCCCATCCATCAACCTCCGCATACCTTCCTCCCTCTGCCCTACCCTTGCCACGTTTTCTGCCTTGCTCCCCATTTTCGGTCTGTTCTCTCCGACTCGGCTACCTTTCTCGCCGCCATCTGTCCTCCCCTCACCTCTCCCGTCCCCTCCCCTCGCATCCAACCATCCTCTCCTCCACCCCATCTCTCCGTGTCCCTCTTCTTTAGCTCATGCAGCAGCAAGCGGCCATCATGGCGGCCAGCCACGGAGGTTACCTGACGCCCAGCGTGGCGTTCCCCACCACGCAGATCCACCAGATGGGGGCGCTCAACATCAACAGCCTCCCACCCACCCCCATGACCCCGGTGTCGGGTGAGTTTCATCAAACCCTGGGTGAGCTCTCAGTTTCATTCCCTCTCCTCCTTGCGTGTGTTTTTTTTTTGCGGCAGCCTGAGCTTGCGTTGCGAATGTTGTCGTGCGAGTCGTTTTTTCCGTTTCTGTGTGCGAAGAAAGACTCAAATCCAGAGCTTTCAGCATGGCCGAAAGAAAGAGCGCCTACTTTTACGATTCCTCTGGAGAGCAGCGGGATGTACAGCGGGATCTGCATGTTTATGGCGTTTTGCAAATGCTGAAAATATTTGGGATTACCGGGCAAGGAACATCAGCAACTAAGTTTACAGATAAGAACATTTCCCCGTAGTGTTTTTTGACCTTGTGCTTTGAAACTCTCGTGCATGATCTGCATGCAGTTGTTTTCCATACCAAACAGCCCCCATGCAGACACATTACAGAGAACTGCCACGATAGAGAGGAGGCAAGGACTTTGAAACACCTACCCGTTGCATAAGCTTTGCTTATTCAGCACTGTCTCCTTTTCCTTTAGACAGAAGGAACTTGAAGATTCTTTTCCCTTTACAAAAGCATAAGCCTAAATAAATTATACAGTATCTAAGTCTTTGTTGTGTACTGCTCACCTCCCCTGTCAGCTCTGCAGCATTCGGCTTCTAAGTCGATGTCTTTGGTAACTTTTTACCGAATTAATGCAATAGAAGCCATCACCAGAGCAACGAGACCTCTTTAAAATGTTCTTTACGCTGATCATATGAATCTGTTTCTAGAAATCTGCTGCAGTTTATCGCATTCTCGTGGAGCTGCAGTTTCTGGAGAGAAAGGATTGTCTCTCCGACTGTCTTTGTGTTCAAATCCAGCTTGTTTTTTTTTTCGAGCATAACACCCAATATTCAGCTAAATCAAAACAGAGGAATTGTGCGGCGCTGGTGCAGAGGACGGTGTAGCAGCACACATCGAATCCTTCATCCTCTCCAGCATGTCTCCCCCTCACGCCCGGAAAAACCAGCCAACGCAACACAAGAAACGTTGCCAGTGGACACGCGGGCCGTAGACATACATGATATCGTTCTCACCACGGGGCGATACATCACGAGAAGAGAGCCATTTGTCAAATGTTCACCGCGATGTTTCCAGTGCAAAGCGTGCACTTTTGGGCCGGCGCAATCAATCTGAGACACTGATTAAAAGCAGTTTCGGTCTTTGCTGAGAAGCTCCTATTTTGACAGCCGTAGCGCTGACAGTATTGCAATTCAGACCTTTGTGTTCAGCAGCCATACCTGTATTTTGCAACACAATGGTGCTGATTGAAGATCGCGCCACTGTCTTGCACGGAGCTCCAGCTTTGTGCGGACGCATGTGGGTGAGGCTGGCTGTTTGTGTGTGAGGCTTTGTCCCCCTGTCAGATTGTATTGTTTATGTGTTTTTTGCGCATAAAATACAAAATCAGTGCCCTGCTCCAAATGAAACATTGCTGATTTTGCTTTTGTTGTCCATGAAAAGTAAAGTAACTACTTATAAAGAGAGAGATTTAAGTTCTTATCAGCTGCTACTGATGTAGCTTACTTATTTATTATAATTATGTTTCAAATTAATAGATTAAGAGAGAGCTTGTAAATGAAGTATGAAGTGGTGAGATTGATATAATTTTCCTCCAGACTGAATGTAATTAATCGAGTCCTTTGGGAAGAATTGATCATGAAGTTTTGGGGACTGGAATGAATATGAAATCTGTCATTTTGAGTTTCTCTCATTCATTACTGTTGAGAGCTGCAGGAGTGGTGTCGGGCTGCTTCAGTTATTCTCTCTCTCCTTTTTCACACTTGCGACCATGACTTATTTAGAGTTCATGGAAGGCGTGCATAATGTTACTGGCAAGGCTGCCTACGTAAGTAGGCCAAGAGATTGTGGCACTGCTGAGACACTGTAGGATGTCTGCCACGACGTCGGTGGAATAATTCATTGTAATGTCTGAATCTTGGAGTGCATCTCTGTTCAGTCGCATTTATCCCTTCATTTGTCTCATCGTTGGAATTAGAGTTAGACATTCTGCAGAAGTTGGAGGTTAATTAAAGTCCCCTTTGCTTCTGTGTATGATCGGAGACACTAAAGCCCGTCTTGAATAGACACAAAGCTCCACATTAACATAAAACCTCAATGATTGTTGAATAGGTGGAGAAGCTTTCTGATCTTGGGGCGAATGCGTGATGTTAATCTTTACTCAAATGATCGGGGTAAACTCCGAAACAAGAAGAATGTCGTTTGACAGCAGGCCGGAGGACAAAGAGGCTCAGAGGTTAAGGGTGTTACTCTGAAAACAATGAGGCTTCCATTCGATCAACAGATGCAAAGCATTTAAGCTTGATGGTGCATAAGCCCTTTGCCAGATGGTTCAGCTGATTAGAGCGTGTATCCTTACAATGATGCATGATGATGCTTTTTGGAAATAATGTTCACCAGGTGCTGCTCCCCGAGTGCAGCAGAAGAAACAAAAAGTTAAACAAAACAAGGGGAAAGCTGCAGAAACAGGATGAGGGAGAGGGAGGGCGAGGAGGAGCGGGGAACGGGTCCCGCTGGGTATACGTGGTGAGGAACACGCAGAGTCAAGGATGCTTTATTTGGATGTGAAAAGTGTGTAATCAAAGTGGCTCTAATGTTCTATTGCGCGGTGCTGTTCCACAGTGAAGACGTACACGCACGAGTGCGTATTACACAAAATGCACGGCAGATGCTGCACAGCCAGAGACAAGGCGCTCACAGTGGGGCTGGATGTGCCTCCCCATCCCTGCTGGATTCAAACCCCGTTACCCCACTGGTGCAGAACACTTCCACCGCGACAAACACCAGGAAACTAATGAACTGTTCGACACCGCCATCTTCCTTTTTGTTACCTGTCCCCCATCCGTCACGGCCGCGTTTTTATTGAGATGCGTCATTTTTGAGGAGTGCCTTAAAACAGGCAAGCGCGACGCTTGGGTTGATTTTCAGCGCGGTGTCAAACGGCACGTTTTGAATCCCGGAGACGGGCCCCTGGAGTCGGCCATCACACACTGATGAAACATGCAGGCAACTTCAGCTCCTCTGCGTTCCACACGAGGTGACCTTCAGCTCTCAGACCGTAAAGCCCTGTCTTTCTTTAAAGGTGTAAAGTCAAGCGGTCCGTTTTTGAGAATTGCCTTCAAACGAACTAAAACGTTCAAGTGTGGAGAAACAACAGCTTCCAGGTTAAATTCACTCATTGAAAACAGAATAGTTTGTGCTACGACTATGTAAACACCGAACACACCAAAAGAAAGAGTAAACTCTCTTCTTTCATTAGGAAAATAAAAATTTGTTTCTACCTTATTCCGTTCTTCCTCGACTTGCGTCTCACCGGCGACATGTTCTCTCATAGCGAAGCATTACCTTTTTCTTATTTGCCTACAGTCTATGCTCATCTCCCATCAAAAGTGGCACTGCTACCTAGAGGGTCAATTTGTTAGTACATACTCTGTCTAGAAGCCGGATATTTCCGGACAAGCTTTAGCGGATCGTCCCCCAAGCCACTCGCGTTGAAAAACATAAAAAACGTCTATAGACATCTTTGGCAGCCAATGAGTTAAGGATCCTGCCCTGTTAGCTTACACATGCTTATCTCAAAACACCAGTCCTAAATGTGTGAGGCTCCAGGATATGACGAGGGAAAAAAGCACCTGCAGGGGCAGCAATTCTGCAGTTTACAGGCTATGATTTCACCCTCCCTGTCAGTCAGGCCGAGGTCAGTCGATGAAACCTGAAATGCAGCAGTTGCCGGGACTCCGCGGCGGTCTGGGGACGTGTAAGTCAGACGGAGCCACTCTAAACAAACCGCTGCTCTCCCTGCCGTACTTTCTGCTTTGCCCGGAGCCACCAGGTCCAGGTGACACAGGGAAACTGAGGCAAGCCTCGAACACGGAGCACACAGTTCAGCGTTTGGCTTAGCTGCTAGCATTTTTTACGCTTCGGCAGCTCCAAGAGACTTCAACCCTGTTGACACATCCTGTTCCAACAAAACATCCGTTATGTCATTAATGAATGCATGCAGACAGTAGTTTCAGTATTTCTAAATTATTTAACAGAAATAAGAGAGACTCCCCTCTGCCTCGATGCAGTGGGCTTTTTTGGGATTGGGCAAAACTGGCCGCTACTCCTCAGATATAAATGACGGCAAAGAAGGCAAGTGTTGAAAATGCTTCACAGACGATTGCTCAATCCAGTTTCAAATAGTTTTTTTTTTTCTCCCATCCGCTCAAGAGTATATTACAAAGATAAATTTGGATGAAGATTGTCCCCCTGGGGGTGCTTCTGAGCCTGGAATTGACGTGGTTTAGTTTGGAAATACACCAGGCAAAGTGAGCGGATTTTGACATGTTAGAGGGATTATTTGAGTTTTTATGGCTTTGCTGTAGGTATTGTTAAGCACACTAAAAAGCTCTTTCACTCTACCTGATCACCGCGTGAGCTTTTTACCTTTGTCGGGCACAGAGGCAGACGGCTGACGGCCGACTTGAATCTGAGTTTGTGACAGATCTAAATCCACACGTGTGCGCGGAGCTTCCCCGGGACGCCGGCTCGCTATTTAACCGCACAGTTCTGCCTCCTCCGTTTCCGTCATTTGGAAGCACCACACTGTTGCTTTGCTTTCGTTTGCTCGGAAAAAACGCCGCGCGACCACTGTGTGAAAAATACCAAAGACGCAGCAGTCGTGAGCCTGGCCCGCCACGGCTCAGCTTTACCTGTTTAGCAGTCACTTTCCTCACAGTTGTGTTTGTGGGGTTTTATAGTTTCCACTTAAGGAGCAGAACTCTCAGCAGAAACTAGACGTCTGCGAGTTCATTTTTTTTCACATAAACACGGCAAACTTTTTAGCTAAGTTCTTACCTCATGCGGCTTTTTTCAGTCTACTTCCACACTTCATCCCCATGAATCCTGATTCACCCCCTCATTTACAGGGTAACAAATGAGTATGATGAAGACAAGTAAAGGTTATCAAAGTAGCTTATATTCCCACTCACAGTAAATTCCCGATATGTAGATTTTAGATGGTCTTCATCCCTGAATTTTGGAAGAAGTGGAGAGAGTTAATAACACCCCCGAACAGCTGTGAAGGACAATAATGGCGAGAATATTAAAGCGTAACACGCTACGCCTCCGTCATTAAAAATGTGTCTTCACGTGCATTTAAATATTTACCAGGAAAAATGTTTTACGAAGACCGACTGCTAAACACCGAGATGAAAGAAACGTCATGTCACAACTGATTTGCCCTTGAAATATTCATCAGGCGTCTGACGGCCAGTGTTCAAAGTTTATCGCGGCGTGCCGACACGCCTTTGAATAAGCCGTTCTTTCCAAACTTGGATTTATTATTCACACCAGACAGACATTTTCTCCTTGACTCTAAACCATCACATTCTAAAGCAGTTAGATGAAAGCATCTGTTTTGAGTGCTTATTACTTGCTCCGGTAAAAGACGGTCCTTGTGTTGGTAATGACTGCACTCTCCACTACGGATACGGCATTCCTGGATGATTTGAATGCATAATTAGCATAATAAATACTTCTGTCGTATTTGAAGACTTCTTTTGTGAGGCAATCATCGGCGGGGAGCAAATCAACACTTCCCCCCCTTCTCGGAAGAACCTGCCGGAATGTGAATGTAATTTTGATTTGATAACATAAATAAATGCATGCGACGTGCACATGTACTTACTGTTTGGCGGTGCAAACTCTTTTTGTGCGGCAATAATGAGGCGCGAATTGATTGAGTTAAGAGCTAGCCGCGTAGAATATGTAATCTCGCGTCCCTTGGCTCGGGGACTGGGGAGCAACATGTCATTATTATGGACCAATACACGCCGCGCAGGCTGACAGCCACATGTAGATTCCCATTCTAGTGTGTACATTGTAAACAAGCTATGGATGCAATTTTCCATCTGTATGTCCACTGAGGTATAAAATGAAATTGTCTTGTTTTTCTAGTTGGAGACAGTAGGCATACCTCCTTATCTCAGCTATGGAGAGGCATGTTAGGTGTTGGGCCATTGGGCCAGCATGGACAAAAGATGATGACTAGGCCCCCGTAAGTGGTTTTTTGTGGGCACGGTGTTGTTGTCTTTTTCCAGTAATCATGATATACTGTAATTTTATATAATGTTCAAAGCTCAACTTAAAACGTATTTGTTCAGGATGGCTTTTTGCACGTAAAATCTCTGTATACTGGGTTCTGTCACCAATGGTTTTGTCTCTGTATATTTCGATAGTTTGATTTGTTTTTATTCTGTAAAGCACTTTGGTCAGCTCCGGTTGTTGTAAAGTGCTATGCAAATAAACATTGATTGATTGATTGATTGATAATTTGATTTTCTATCTGTGCCTTCTCTTCTATATTTTGCCGGTTATTCTTTTGATGATTACCTGCTGTGGCTGTTTGCACATGCTAGCCCAAATGGACCGCTGACCCCGTAACTTACGTAATTGCACGCCGCACGTCCACACCGCCACCTACCACACTCACGTTTTGGCATCAAAATAACTCCATACGTGGGTTCCTACTGCCGCTAAGCTTGGGAAAATGAATTTGCCTTGATGATGGAGAGGGTGCATTATCTGCCGGTACAGTGGAGTGCGTGTGGCCCGGGCAGACTAGCTGCCTCCAGCCCCTCGGAGCAGTCTCTGGGGCTCTGGTAGGAGAACGGGCTGAAGCAGCAGCCTAATTCATCACAGCTCCAACAGGAAACAAGCAATCGTGGCGGAGGCTTCTCCGAAAAAGGAAAGAAAGAAAAAAAAAAGAAGATAATTGCGCAAAAGACACAACTCTTCCCTTCAATTCCCCTGATCACGGCGAGTTGTCTACATGACTGTCAGACTCCTTGTGGCTTAAATGCTGAGACAGGAGAGTAGAAATAGAAAGGGGGGGGGGGGGAAATGAGAGAAAAAGTGGTATCGTGGGGAGCGGATAACAAAAGCGAGCCCACATGTTTTCTGGCGTGAGTTTGGAGCGTGTGATGTACGGCTTATTTACAGTCCCATCTCGGCGTTTGATTTGTGTACACTGGATGTGATTGTTTAGCCTCCCCGAACCCCGGCGCACAGCGGGGGCCTTATTGAGGTACCAGATTGCGGGGATATGGCATGCTGAAGGGTTTCCGTGACAACGTGGACCGTCTGTCCAATCAGGGGGGAGGGTTTCCAGATTGAGAGGAGGTTCTCTGGGGAGCCGTACTCGAGCGGGCGCGGATGATTTGCCACAGAGAAGCCCCCTTTGAGAGGCCATCACAGAGTGAGATCCGGCTCAGAATGGGCACTCCGACTTCTGTGGAATAATTGGAAACACTTTCTAGCGCGGGGTTCTTTTAAAATGCATTGAATGACAGGGAACAGGGAGCATCCAATTTTGATTCCACTCATGAACCACTCCGCAGCTGCCTGTCAGGCATGTACCATATATGTTACGACCCACCCATTTGTCAAACTGCCAACTGTTGTTCCCCCGTCTTTATTTTTTTTTTTTCTTTCTATGATGTATAAAGGTAAGAGGCATCTTTGTGTATATTCTCCCTGCTCGCTCAAGCAAATCTCCCCCTGTAATCTGTTTCTATCTCGACCAGATCTCTCGTTTTCATTTTTTTTTTTTCGTTTTTTTCCGTTTTTTTTTTCTCTCAGAAGTTGCATAGCGGTTTCATCATCTTGAGCAATAGGAGCCAGCAGGGTATCGCACAAACACAGCAGACAGGCTCATTTTTCACAGGTTGACTTCCCGGCTCTTCCGCAGGATGTGTCACGACAAACGGTGGATGTGTGACAGCCTCGCGTGTCCTTGCATTAGAGAGAGGATCCAGCCCGTGCGGTCACGGGTTTTGTGTCTTATGCGCGCGTGTGTGTGTGTGTGTGTGCGTATCTGTGTCTTAATGCATTAAAACGGCTTCGTAGAGTCGCGAAATCCAGTGACGGCGGGCTTTTTTTTTTTCCCCCCCCCCCCCAGCAGGCCTCAGTTCTCCACCCGCCAACATCACCACCTCGGCAGTGCCCAGCCTCGTCACGCCCATCGTCAACGGCTTCACCGGCATCCCCCATCAGCCCAACGGCCACCCGGCCGTGGAGGCCGTCTACACCAACGGCCTGCCGCCCTACTCCACCCAGAGCCCCACGGCCGCCGACACCCTCCAGCAGGCCTTCACCGGCGTGCAGCAATACACAGGTGAGAGATAACGCACCTGGGAGTTCAGATAGCGAAAAACAGGGATCAGAGAGATTTTTCCGTTCGAAAAAAAAGGACTGACCGTTCTCTGGGATTTGCATGTTGTCCTGGCCTCGCTAAGCACCCTGACTTTCAGCGGTAACTCGGCTATACAGGTAGCTAAACGCTTTCCCATCCGTCCACCAAGAAGCACTGCATTTGGTTCTTTAGCAGGGTTTGATGAGAATGGTGTGAAACTGTAACACACAAAGGTACAGAAAAATGAATGCCGGCTAGGCTAACACATTAGGCTAACACAAGTAATAATGTCTATCTTCACATAAAACACGTCAACGGGTTTATGAATTATGATTGACATCACAGGAAATTAGAACGGTACTTACAGACGATGCCGTTGTGCGCTTAGATGAAAGAAAACACAACAAAAAGGTGCTTCTTTCAGAGCCGATGGATCGAAAGGGCTTTCTTCGTTTCAGGTAAGCGAGTTGTAAATGATAAAAGTGACCACAAGATGGCGTTTAGTGAAATAGCAACACACACAATTCTAACATTTTACCACTAGGTGGCCGCAGTAGATGAACTTAACATTGAATAACTTTTAAGTTAAACAGGTTTCATTGCACATGTGTTTCCGCAGCGATCTACCCGGCCACCACGCTGACACCCATCGGCCAAACACTGCCCCAGCCGCCACAGGTCATCCAGCAGCAGCAGCAGAGAGAAGGTGAGGGTGAGAGAACATTATTACTTTTTGCCCCTTCACACGTCTCACCCGTCTATATATATAAAAAGGGGAGATGAGCAAACACGTATCACCCACATAAAAACCTGAGCTCGTTCTGTGAAACGGGGAAACTAGCCTGGCGCTGACTCTTTACACATCAAACTTTTCAAGTCAATTTCAATCATGCGATTTTGGGACACCATTTTATATAGAAATTGATTCTTAATTTCAAACGGTTTCATCTTGTGCAAAGGAGTACTGATTTTAGCTCCATTTTGTGTAAAAAAAAAAAAAAAAGGCAGTAAGGAGTTGAAGCGTGTCTCAGCCTCTGGAAGTTTTATGTTTAAAAACTCTCTATATATTATTACTCAGCACTGTTTTAAGAAGGTTCAAACAAATGGCAGAAGTAGACGCTTATTCTATTGCAACCATACCGAATGAGTTTTTTTCCAGTTTTCATTAGAATGTGGGCTCCGCATACATCATTTGCAGACAGAAGTTGGAATTCATAATTACCAAGCTCCCTTCCTTATCATTTGATTAATGTATGAACCACTATACTGAAATGGCATTTTCTAAAAGCGATCTTATTCCACTGTACAGTATTTTGAACTGTAAGACGAACATACACACCAGTACAGGCATGTTCAGCTCCTATTCCTTTTTTTTTCATTCAAATTTTGCCCTGACTTGGTCGAATGGCAGCATGCATCAGTTAGTTTCTGAATCTCAGGCTTGTTCAACATCTGTTTTCTGCATGTTGGCATCCAAAGTGCTCTCAGACGCTGGTCTTTACTAAAGGCAGAATTAGCCGGATGCTCTATTCAAATCAATCTACAGACTATAAAATTCAAACTAACTTCAGCAACACAGTGGCTAACTTGCATCCCAGTGCTTCTTCAGCAGTGTTAAAACATAATCAATACAGCAGCCTGCAGAGATACGGAGGAGGCAACCTTAGCAACTGTGTAAAAATGGTTAAAAAAAAGCTATTTTCTAATTTATAAATCCATTCTAAATTCTAAATGAGCAGGGCTAGTCTTACGTGAGTCGATTTCCCCACATACCTTCAGTAAAGTAAAAGCAAATAGAGTGGAAAGGTGGAAAAAACAGTATTACCGAATGCAGATCACATCTCATCTCCAGATAAAGTGCAAATGAATAATTGGGAAGTAGACACACGGCCAAGTTAATACAAGCACATTATAGTTTTATGTTTTATGTTTCTGCCATGAATGGGAATTAAAGCTCGAACCGTCAGTTTGGCGATTCATGTGCGTGCCAGGATCAATCAGTGCTCCCGATGTTTCAGTGATAAAAAAGCATTATGCAGTTTTCCATAGACTGAGTCTCAGGTTAATCCATTGAGAGGAAAAATCTATCATTTGAATTTAATATGGAAAGATGTCAGATGTACGTTTAAACGCTTGAATGTTTAATGCGTTGTCTATATCCACACGGTGTGGAATAGGATTTCGATGTTTTAGGGCTGATAGTGTCTGGCATGTCCCTCTCCACTTGTAGTGTTACGTAATAAAGGCTCCGCTGATGAAAATGACAAATTAACAGCCGTTTCTCTCCTTTGGCTTCCAGGTCCAGAGGGCTGTAACCTGTTCATCTACCACCTGCCGCAGGAGTTTGGAGACAATGAGCTCATGCAAATGTTTTTGCCCTTCGGTACCGTCATCTCCTCTAAGGTCTTCATGGACCGGGCCACCAATCAGAGCAAGTGCTTTGGTGAGTTTAGCTTCACACACACACACACACACACACACACACACGCGGCTCAGGAAGTGGGGACCCTCGCACAGGTGTGGGGTCACCTGATGGCGATCCTGCACAGTTCACTGATCTGATCTCCAGCCTGTGAAGGGGAAGGAGCCGGACCATTGTCATTTGTAAAAAAGAATTTAATACATGATCACACGTGCATTTTCTGTCTGACACCGGGGACTGAATCGTGAGCAGCCGGACCCCGGAATTTGCATATTGGTGACGGTTTATCTTTTGGCGTGTATTCTCAGAAAATGACATTGTCACCAAACCAGGCGTGATGCAGTCAATCAGACCCCCTTGGCCTCGTTTCTGTTTTTGGCACTCGCACGGGCCTGGGAATCCGCCGTGTCAGCATTCTCGTCACCGTTCTTTAACCCTTACGTCAGTCCCTCCACACCTGTGTCCGACTACACGCACAAACCCACCACGGCCCGGCGGGGACGGGTGAGGGGAGGGCAAGGGAACAGGGCAATTATGGATCAGCATTTGTTTTCACTCAGGGGAGCACAGAACTCCGGGGCCGAATTGATCACCGGAGCTGACTCCCTACGTGTGTGTGTGTGTGTGTGTGTGTGGGGGAGGCTTAATAACATAAATTCATGGGAGAAGAGCTATTTGTAGTATTGACTAATACACTATACATTTACAACATAATGTTAGGCCTGGGGAAGGAGGGAGCGCACAGGTGTAATTAATCTAGAGAGGAGTGAGAGGGGGGTGAACGTAGATTTATGCAGTGCAAAAGACAAGGGAAACGGACAAGTCTGAGCAAAAGGGGACCGATCCGGAGCTGAGAGTGGATTAGGAGGTCACCTCGTTTTTCTGCCTCTGTTCTTCCTTAAGACTCTCACCCAAAGCCTCTGCTGCCAAACTTTGGCCCTAATGGGCCGAACCGGGGCCGGACCCATCAGGCTGACCGGGTCCCAGGTGGCCGTGGATGTGGAGATGTGGCCTCTGCTGGTTTTTCACGGGTCATCAGCCGTACCTAATGACACCACAAACACGCGAGAGAGGGACCCGCTCCGCTCCCGGGTTTCTGCTCGCTGAGATCTCAGGGCTTTATTTTTTTTTACACATGGCTGAAAGGGGATGTTTGGTGTGGGCTTAAAGGGAGGGCTTATCTTGAGGAAATGGACTGATGGATCTGAGTCTGCAGCAAATTCGTCTCTTGATGATGTGACGTTTTTTGCTCTTGTTGTGATTTTTTTTAAAGAAAACAGAGCTCCGATCACATAATTCGGTTTATATTCAATTAGTGTTCATGATTGATTATGTCTCTGGCAACATTCAAAACCAGAACTCGGAACAAAAATGTGAATCCTGAAATGTCCCTGTAAGACTGCTCTGTGGCCCAAAGCCACTTCCTGCCCCAACACCGCCATCTAGCCTCGTAAAGCAGATTAACCTCTGGGCATGAAGTCAGTAGTCCTTAGTTGGTTTAACATTTATTTACACTTGAGTTCCCGCCCTATATCTCATTTAGGTCATCACGCCTCTCGCTGTACTTTAATGAGTTTAATGAGCTGGCTTCTGTTTTTTTTCTCCCCTCGCAGGTTTCGTGAGCTTCGACAACCCTGCGAGTGCACAGGCAGCTATCCAGGCCATGAACGGCTTTCAAATCGGGATGAAGAGGTTGAAAGTCCAGCTAAAGAGACCGAAGGATGCCAGCCGCCCTTACTGACACAGCCTACCTTCAGTATTCACTGCAGCAGCACAGGTAAGCCTTAAAAACTCATGGAGGGACAACAGCTTTTAGCATGGGCTCAATATTTAGCTCGCCATCAGTGATGTGGCCTGATTTGGCTCTATTCTGTACTCCAAACCCGTGCCAGTCCTCAACAGCCACGGGCCCCTTTAAGCAGCCTCCCAACACTCACAATGAGTCAGGAATTAATGAGTCATGCCCACAAAGCAAAAGAAGGCCAGAAGAAAAGCTGAGTCTTTTCAGGTATTCGTTCTCTTTTTTGTAGCATAAATAAGAAATGATCAGGGCAGGGATGTTAGAGGTGAGGCCGCAGGTTGAAGTTTCTGAGAAGACTGCACGGGTGGACTATTCAGCCGGGCAGACAAGACCTTTCCAGCACCGGAAAAGAACCGGGAGGACATCCTGACCACAATGAGAGCATCAGAAATGGAAACGCCAACCGAGTTTTATTTAGTTTTGAAACAAGCCCCCCCTGCACCGGTTGAGTTGAAATTTTACCATTTTCCAGGCCAATGAAGCAAATTTTGGAAACAAACATTTTATAATAAGATAACACTTTTTTGTTGATTCTTTTAAAGAAAAGCTTTTTAGGAGTAAACTTGTGTTGGAAAAAATGAGCAAATGCATTGATAGATTCTGACCCCAATGCACCAAACTCATTTGAAAGATGACAAAAAGAAGCAAAGAAGCTTAAAAACTATGAACAATTCTTAAAAAAATATCATATAGATTTTTCCCTTTTGACAGAAGGACATCCTGTACTTGTTCAGCTATTCATGTTATCATTTTTTTTCCTTTCCAAATTTGAAAGTAAGTTGTTGTCTAGAAATGAAGCCTCTGTCCAGATGTAGAGACAGTCGTAAAGCGCCCGTTTCACATGCAGCCCGGCAAGCATGAAGTGGAAAAATCTGCCATCTCTGTGAGTGACTGAGATTGATCGGTGTTCCAGTGTGAGTCAGCTCTCTCCAGGCCAACTCGCTCATATAACAGAGCCATGCTGAACCCTCCAAAATTTAAAAGAAGTAAATATTTGGATTGACATCTTCCCCAATTTTGACACAGTTCTGTTCTTTTTTTTTTTTTTTCCCCCAGGTTTTAGAGGACACATGAAGATATCCCGGAGGAGTTTTTTTTCTTTGAAAGCAAAATATGTTTAAAAAAAAAAAAAAAATCAACACGTAAGGAATTTTTTGGAGACATATCAGCATTTACACATGAAGACATAGGTTAGGGCGGCGGGAGGAGATGCGCCTCATCGGGGGACGTGACCGTAACAGATGGCACAGAGCAAGAACCGCGGGAGGAAAAAAAACCGAAAGAGATGGGACGAGACTGATCAACAGAACTTTTTTTCTCGTTGAGACTTGAATTGTTAATTAAGCAACAAACTAACAAACAAAAAAGCAGCAACAACAAATAGATTTCTATATACATATTATATACACACACATATATAAATATATATATAAGGAAAGAGGCGCTTGTGGCTTTTACTGGACAAATGAGGGTTAAAACTTGAAGATAAAAAAAAAAACAGTGGAGAAAAGAAGCTATTCTATACGTCCACTGACAGACTTTCTTTCTCTTTCCCTCTTTCTCTTATTCTCTCACCGTCTCTCTCAGCAAGCGCAGAACTATGACTCTTGGAGGTTACTGAGGTTTCCATTATCAACAGTAGAACTGCAATTCTTTCACCCCTAAGGGACCAAAGGACCAAACATTTTTATTGTTCTGAACAGTAATATATAGTATTAATGATACTAATACAACAAACTACTACTAATAATATTACAAGTTAAACTTAAGAAGAAAACTAGCTTCAGGTTGAAAAAAAAAAGAGCAAGGGGTTTTGGATTTCTTTTCCTTTTACATTTATAGCTACTGGGTTTGAGAATATTAAAACAACACAGAAAATGTATTAAAAAAAAAAAAAGATAAAGCTGTACTATTTTAGCGACGTAGTATATATGGGTTAGACATTGTTCCGGGCATGTTCAGATATGTACTTTTCGCCACATCATCTTCATCCCAGCATTTCATCTCGGAGGTGCGATCTGTCTGTGCGAGCGTGTCGCAAAGACAGGAAACGAGTCCCTCAGTGCCAAAGGAGACGCCAGAACAGAAAGCTAAAATCAAAGAACAACAGCATGCAACCCCAATTAGACAAATCACAACAACGCAAAGCTCTGCAAAGCTCTATCTGAGAGTTTTATTCACGTCGAACATGGAAAAAATGTCAATTGTAAACAGTGAGATAGAATTCTACGTTTGCAGGGGAAAGTACATCTTGAATTTGATGCTAATAGCATGTCTCAGAACACAACTGGAGGATTGTAATGCAGCTAATAAGGTCAGAGGGCAGTGCAGTAATGTGGTTAGGTGTCAGAAAGCCCCTCAGAGGGTCAGAGCCTTATGAATAAAGTCTGCATATGTAACAACCTGCACAATTAGATTTTTTAATATCATCACCGATGTTGGTTTCCCTTTAAACGTATTCCAAATAATGGACGCCGCTTTCTCCTAGCTTATGAAAATGAAACCTTTTTGAGACATTAGCATCAAATCTAAGACATGTGCAACACCCAACATTCTGCAGATAATGATGAATCATCTTACTTTTGACATTTGACTTTTTTTCCACATTTCCCGTGAATAAAACACGAGTTTCAGATTTTCACAAGTCGTTGCATTGTGCTTACATTGACATTTTCCTCAGCACAGCACAGATTTTAGACTTGGGGCCGCCCTCCATTGTCGGAGTTCAGTAAGCGATTGTCATTGCGAAGCATTCCATGTTATCATTAAAGCCTTGATAGGACAAATAATCTGACCATAAAGCACTGTGGTAAAAGTGCCACCCGGCTGAGCTGGATCCAGCAGTAAAACAGCACCGCATCTGGAGCTGCTTGATAAAACATACAAATGAGCCTGACAGCAGCTGTGAAAAAAAAAGAAAGAAAAAGAAAAAATCTATTCGATGCGTCGCATCGGTCCCGGCCGGGTCACGCCCACTCCCACTGCCAGTCTCCTCCAGCTGCTCTCAGAAGGACAGAGTGGACCCCCCTCCCCCACCCCCCCTCCACCCCACCCCCTTCTTCTCCGTCACCTCCAAGTGCCAGAGCAGCTCCCAGCTACCGGGGACCATCGGTCGGCCGTCGGGGGCTCCGGAGCTAACCCACAGCTTAATTACAGTAATGATGATATTGATCAGATGGTGTTGGGGGGGGGGTGGGATGCACAATCAATTCCACGTTGGCATTCGAATGAAGTGACTGACGGAGTTCATCTTTCCCCTCACGGATTAGGCAGGAGGCCCGTTTTTCAGGATCCAGAATTAGACGTGTGTAGTTTATGATGCCGTGACCCGGTCTGTACATAGAGTTCAGAGTAGACGGTACGAGTTCTTCAGTGAAGAGCAGCTGCGTATATATTTATTTATTTTCCTGAAGGGTGTAATAGCACAGTGAGAGCTCGCAGTGAGAACGTGAGAGGCAGCCTGGCATTACCGGCCTTAGGAGGTCAAATTAAGAGCAAAATGATCCATCAATTAGACGGCAGCGAGCGTGTTTTCTGCCCCAGCTGCTGCTGCTGCCTCCACCATTACGGCCTGGTCGCCACATCACGCCGTGCACCACGTGACTAATTAACCGCCGTCATCCACAGGGAAGTTTTCGGCACCGGGAGACACAGTCGGCACGTCCGAGATGAAATCTTGTTTGTTTTTTTTTGTTTTTACCGGATCAACTTTGTTCCCATTTAGTCGTCTCTTAACGAGCTTTTCTTAATCTTTGAGTCGTTCATTTCCCCCGACGCCGTCCGTTCGTCGTCGTTGAGTTTGCTCTCTGAAGCATCTTGGCCCTCAGGACTCTGTGAGACTTCAGCACTCTCATCGCCCGCTCTGACTTCAGTGCTTCAGACATCACATCACAGCGCCTGTCCCGTCCACTGAAGCAGAATCCTCTGAAAAGACCCAGACTACGCCTTTGTGGTCGCTCGGAAAAAAAGAAAAAAAAGAAAAAAAAAGAAAGAAAGAAATTCTCCAGTGACTCCCCCAGATCCTGATGGCTGTATGCTGGGGTTTGATGCTACTTTAGCTGCTCTGCTCCGGGTTCCCCTTTAGCGGCCGCTATGTGTTGCCCTGCTGCAAACAGCGATTAGACGCAGTAGGAAAACGATTCTAGACTTGCCTTGTCTCATCACGAATTGCCAAATTATGCAAGCGTTTCCACTCCGCCTCCCCGTCAGGACTTTTAACACGTGCCAGACCTCCTTAAAAAAACCTAGTCTTCGGGATTTGCTGATTTTCAGGAAACGTTCAGCAGAGTGAAATATTTGCTTTTCTGATACAGCGTGACATTGTGGGAGGAGGGTCAGCTCAGGCTGTAATGATATACAATATAGATTTCCAGTGAAAAGGTTAGATTTCTTATATATTTGCCAGAAGACAGCTTTTATTCCCCTGGCGAGTTAATGTGAGTTTCCTCGCGGCTGTCAGGGCCGGGCAGCTTCAGAAAACTGCCGTACATGCCCTCCCTCCCCCCAGGCGACGGGAGTTTTACTTGAGAAGTTGTTGTTGTTTTTGTTAAATTATTGAAATCAAATTAACTTTTGCCTTCACAACAGCTGGAGTAAAGCAAATTACACATACCAGCTGTGACTGAAATGAGTTTGAAAGAACTTTGAAAGCTTATTTCGACCAGCAACTAAGTTTAGAGGTTCGTGGACAGAAAAAGGTGCAGAAGCCTAGACAAACATATCTGACTTATGATTATGAAACGGTAATCACCTGACTGATTTCCCAAGAGGATAATGAGTTGTTCAACATCACAGAGTGGTTACAAATGACAGAAATATTGTGGGGGAGGGGTGGGGGGGGGTGATCCCTGCAGGATGCAGGTGAAGTTGCATGTGGTTGGGCTAAAGTTGATCTCGTACATAATTTTCTCTTGCATCCATTTTCATCGTTTCTTCTTTTGGATATTTGTCATGTTACCATGGTGCCCTTTCAGTCTCTGAGCATGTTCAATGTGGGCCAGGAGGGGAAATGGTAAAAGAATCTGGTACTGCTTGTATTAATAGTATGATTTTTTTAAACTATGGTTTGAATGCTAAGGATAGTAGCTTATTATAAATATTAAATCTGTATATTATGGAAAATCAGCACAGGACCTTTGTTTAGGTACATGTGGATTAGGGGGTTGAAATATAGGGGAGGGGGGGTGGGGGGGGGGTGTTCGCTTTCTAAAGATGTTGACTCTCTGGTTTCTCAGCACAAAGCGAACAAAAACATGGAAACAGCAGTAAAGAGTCAGTGACAAGACTTTGCTGACGTACAGGGCGCAAAAAGAGGAATCTCAGTACAATTCATGAAACCTGGGGGATAAAATGCTGTTTACAGGTGGAATTGTACCTTGTTTTATCTTTTCTTTTGTGTTTTTTTTCTTTTCTCTTTTTTTCTCCGAGGAGAGCGCCACCTGTTTTCGTGGCTGTGTCAGTACAGCATGGATTAACTGACAGGGAAAGCAGTATCTTTTTATAAAAAAAAAAAAGGGAAAAATCTTTTAAAAACCTCTGTGTTCTGTATTAGCCTGAGAAACCAAACATTTTTCCCCCTGTTGAAATTTCTTAATACTTGCTGCTTAGATTACTTCATATTAACGATTGATGATTTAATAATTTTCTAATAATCTGGTCAAGTATGTAACTTGATGTTTATTTATCTATTTATTTAATTTATTTATTTATTTTTATTTATTTACTTATCATTTTGTCACTTTTTTCTTTATTTTATGCTTATGGTAAGATAAAGATATGTATCAAAAAGAAATGCTTATTGGGGCTTTTCTCTCTTTCTCTCCTTTTTTCCAATTTTACAATAAAATTTCCAACTGGATGTTTTGTTTCTCACACTTGTGTCGGAGCGAAACGAATGCTGAGCCTCGGTGCAAAGAAAGGGGGAGGTGTTGCGCAAGGAAACGGCTCCCTTTCAGCATCCCAAGGACGTGGGGAGTTCACAGGAAGCAGATGCTGCAGCTTTTCCCGCCTCACCGCCTCCGTGAGCGTCGTTGGGCCCTTTTTCTCCGTGTCGAGGAATGAAGTTGTGATACTGTTCAGGTCTGGAATGAACGGACCAAACACCGGTCAGGAACCTCCATGGTTAAAAAGATCAATATTGGCAGTGAAAAAGAAGGAATATCCATGTAAAGGAAACTCTGTGGTGCAAATTAGGATCTGCTTTTTGATGATAATTATCAGTTAGCATTGTCTGTTGTTAGTATTATCTGGACCATGCATAAGGGCACATCTGATGGCAGATAAACATTAACCACCCTCAGCCAGGGAGTTTCATGTGAAATCCACAGGATTGAGAGCGAGTCATATTATCATTCCGAAAAGCAGGGAGCCGTAAGTTAATATTAGCAAAGCAGCGAGTATCAGTCAAATTTGCAGGGCTGCTGCAGGAGCCAGACCTGATGCAATATCTGTCGGCGGTGGAACTGCCTCTCCACACACATCGTGTAATCATCTTCTTCTTGCATCATGAGCCGATGCAACAAAAGCTGCAGCTGAGACACCAGATTCCCATTTTGAAGAGCGGCGTCAGATTAGAAAAAAAATGAAGAAGAAAAAAGTCTTGAGGGGCTAAAAAAAAAAAAAAGAAAAAGTTGAGCCACTGGCTCATGAAATAAATTGTCCCAATTACAATAAAGTGTGGCTCTTGGTCAGCGTGCACGGCAGGCAGTTCATCTTTATTACAATCAGTTAATGAAAATCAATCCCCCTCCTGATAAACTCTTATCTCCACGGCCTTTGCACACCCCTCGCGCGGGGGAGATAATAAATTAGGGTAATATTGCCTTTGATGAGGGAGTGAATTGCAAATTATTGTAACTTTCCAAGATTTATGATGCAGATGCTTCATTTCCGAGCCGGCTTTTTCGGGGCGTCGGGTGGTGCCGGGGGGGCCATTTGTTAAAAGTTTGGTGACACGGGCTCGTTAATAAAAAAAACGCGCGGGCGGACGACCAGGTGTTGCCAGCTGTTACAGTAGCCGGGCCTGCTCGGGGGGGGGGGGGCACGCACGTGGTCAGGCATGGGTCCATGGGGTGCAACATGTTGCAATGTGTTGCTAAAGTGGCGTTGTCAATCATCGGACGCCTCCCTCCTCCAACCCCCACACCTTTCCCATCACACCAGCCCGGGAGTGCGTGATTATGTAGGTCAATAGCCATTCTGCAGCAGGCCGCTGGGTGAGGAATGTCCGTCACTCCGATTACGGAGCGGGACGCGGACAGATCGAGCCGGTCGAGGATGAGAAAAAACCTGCAGAAGCAGATAGCCGCACGATTCCCCAGCTCGCCGAAAAACGAGTGACTTCTCACTTTTTTTGTTCCCCACCGTGCATGTGCACGTGCACCTGCACGCCAGGGGGATGCACACATCCACAAAAAGCATCATTAAGCGGAAGGTTCCGGCAACAGAAGGCCGGGGTTACGAGTCATCGGGAAGGAGCGGTGGAATGATGCAAGGTGGATGATTTCGGGAGCAAAACCCATTCTCCAACGGGTCCACGGCAATTGCTAACCAACATCTCACGCGTCGTTTAGCACAGATAAATCAGCGTCTAAAGCTCACGGAGGAGGATTTTACGCACGCTTCAATCAGTTTACATCCATTATCTGTCGCTCGTGGAGGTTTTTGTTGAGAAAACGAAGCGTTTCCGGGGGCCCCGGCTCGTCACGCAGACTTACCTTTAAAGCACTTCAAACCAGCCTCACGCTTTGCAAAAGTTGATCATCTCAGGATGCAACATTCTCTCCCTATCAAGGCCACCTCATTTCTGTCGAAAGAACAGCTCTCATTAGGGCGGCCATCAATCTGTCCGCGATCAATCAGGGAGAGGACTCACACACCACTATCTATTTATCTTGCCAAGTGCTTTATTATTATCAAATTAATTTCCCCATTGAGAGGATCCATCAGTCAAGTACTTTCTTTTTTTTTTTTTTCTCAACTCATTAGCTTAGTAATTGTCCTTGTTTACAGGGAGAAAGTCAGAATAGGAAGGCTGGACAAGCAACCCTAAAAGGCTTGAATGTTTCTTTTTGAAAAAAAACACCACTGTGCGGACTCGTTTGACTCGTTTATTAATTTCTAAGTTATTCTAAATCGCTCCTTCACTGTCAGTCAGCGTGGAAAAGCAGAGATCCTCAATTTGAGAGGTTCAGGAGTTGTCAGAGAGCACAGCGGCTTTTCGGCAGACGGAGGGGTGTGTGTGTGTGTGTGTGTGTGTGTGTGTGTGTGTGTGTGGGGGGGGGGGGGGGTGTGCACGTGGCTCTGCTGCCTGACAGTCCTGTCAGATGGCTCTGCTTCCCCCCCCACAGATGATAAGAATCACTCAAGAGACGCGCGGCGTTCCCGTTTTGTTTAATGGGAGACGTCCAATGAAAGGACAAAACACTCCGACTGTCATCAGCACGGCTGAGATAATCAGAGGCTCCCTTTGTACGTGCTGAGAAAAACAGAGTCTTCCGATAAAAGTCAGTCGGAAGACGTCTGTCACTTGAATTATTCAAAGATCAACGCATAATTCCTTAATGTGTTTTACGTACAGAAACACAGCACGGATGTACGTTTGTGTGTTTTTTTCTGCCCCTCCAGCCTGAATCCTGTGTGTTATTTAACATTTAAGTTTCACACGTCACAACACGAGCTGCGTTATATTGTTTTAAGGACTTTAAGTTGATCTAAATATGAGACAGTGACACTAATTTTAACCCCAAACGTTCTCCCGTTAAGGCCTCTGAGTTGGGACCATATCCGGCTGCCATCTTTGAACTGTCACTAGCCCTTAAGTCAAATTTTAACACATGTAACTTTATCCGAGGTACAAATATGATCAAATAAAGGCTCCGTAATGAAGTGAAATGTAGCTCGGCTGAGAGTAGATGGAGGGAGGTATGAGGGTTGTAATTTATTACAGTGGTGGACATTAAGCTCTCATCCCGCCTCCCTCTCAATCTTCGTCCAGGCCTCTCCCGAAATCAAGAGCGAGGTGATGAAGTCACCCGGGGAGGACCTTATTCCGGGCCGTCTGGAATCCGTTTCCCCAAGCGAAAGAGCGTGAAACGACACCTTTCATCTGCCGTCTTCCTCGTCACGCGGCCCATCGTTTAGGGGAACGGCACGTGGAGAGATGGAGCACGATTACGCGTGTGATAAAGGAAGCCGTCGTTCAGAGTCCCGTCCATCTACCTTTGACTCAGGCCCCAGATATTAATTACGTCCAAATCTGCTCATTATGGAGCGTTCGCTCTCCAGTCCCTCACAGGCTCTCTTAAGTGCATTCCTGGTGGAAATGAAACCCGCCACAGACGTTAATTCTAGATTGGGATGCCGGTTTTTCCAGCGTGCGGCCTTGTTTTTGGCTCCGGCCCGGCGTGAGGCAGCACCGGATCTGTTTGTGGAGCCGCCGACGGCTCCAGCAGACGAAAGCAAAGCCAGCAAAAATTACCCGGAGAGACAAAGAGGAAAGACTCACCGGGAGCGTTCACCATTTTAATACAGAAAAATTAGCGATACAGCACGACACGTTTGTTTATTTTTTTTTTATTACAGGGACTCAAAATAAACTACTGAACACAATTGGAACACGTCACAATTAAAACATCTATACACAGGCAAATGTACACGATATAAAACACATATATACACACTCTTAATATATTATTATATAAAGATTTGTGTTCTTAAGGGTTTAAAACTGGAAGCCAAACGGCTTGAAGAGGGGGCGTTTCGGGGGGAAACGGGAACTGCTGACACATTCTTTAAGGATAGGTAGTTTTTACACACAGTTGTTGGATCCTGTTGATTTAGGCGCCAATTTGAAAGGCAGACAGACGGATCAGAGAAAATATATTTAAATACACAACACTTGCTGCTAAAGCTGTTAAGTGCTATTGATATTACTGGATTATACAGGATCTAGAAGCCACATTGTTCTGAGTACCGTAGAAATAACCAAAAACGCTGACATGCTGCAGGGGGTGAAACTGGACTTCATACACGGTGGAGTGTTTAGAGGTTGTGCATATTTTCTGTAAAATTAAATATTTACAACGGCGATTCCACGGCCAGCACACGGGCTTCATTTCCTTTGCGTAATTGTGATCATGTGGGAAAAGGGAGGCCCGGGAAACTCATCTTTCAAACCTGAAATCCTTCAAATGACAAACAGTAAATATCATACGATTCATAACCCTCAACCCCCCTGAAAAGCAAAAAACAAAATTACAAATGTGAAATGTCTGTGCTGGAGTCACCTTCCCCCCCCCCCCCAGGCTGGTGATGCTTCCGCGTCCCGTTTGTGTCCGTGCTCCGCCATTTTCCTTCTTCTTCGTCTGTTTTCCTAAACCATCAGCGGGCTTTTTCACAGCAGCAGGATAAGGAGGATGAGGAGGAGGAGGGGGGGGAGCGGGGGGCCCTGTGGGGCCCCCCCGCTGGAGACCTGCGGAGTCCTGGGGGAGTTCTGCTTCAGTCTGCTGGGCGGCAGCGCCTTCAGGTCCTCCAGGGCGCCGAACGCCGCCATGGAGAACTCGGGGTCCCCCGTGGTCAGCAAGTCAAAGACGCAGGACTGGAAGTACACGTCCTCCACCTGCAGCGTCTCGCGGCACTTGGCCGTGGCGCGCTCCACCGTGTAGCTCTGGTGGGGGGGCCGCGGCGGGCCCGTCTCGGCGCCGCGCGGCTGCTGGCGGCTGAGCGTGTGCTCCTTGATGAGCTCGTTGCGCGGGCAGCCGTGCAGGCAGAGCTGCAGGCCGCCGCCGCCGTCCTCCGAGAAGTCCAGCGTGTCCTCGGGCATGCGGATGGCGAAGGTCAGGTAGCTGCCCACGCGCCGGATGATGATGGAGGTGCCGATGTGGCGGGCGTGGATGCGCACCTGCCGGCCCGCGCCGCCGCCGCCGCGCTCGGCGATGGTCAGGCTGCCGCTCTGGCCGCCGCGCCGCGTCCCGTCCTGGAAGGCCAGCGGCAGGTCCTCGGTGGTGGCCTGGTACACCTTCTGCTCCGTGCAGCTGTGGTAGGATTTGAAGATCACCGTGATCTGAAAGGCAGGGGGGAAGAATAACAGCATCCATGTTAGTCCTTTTTACACCTTTTTTAAATCTTTTTTTAATTTATTTATTTTTTTATGTTAGTCATGTTAGTGATTTTTACATCCACCTTTTTTAAATATTTTTTAAATTTATTTATTTATTTATTTTTTATGTTAGTCGTGTTAGTCATTTTTACATCCACCTTTTTTAAATCTTTTTTTAATTAATTAATTTATTTATTTTTTATGTTAGTCATGTTAGTCATTTTTACACCTTTTTAAAATATTTTTTTAATTAATTTATTTATTTTTTATGTTAGTCATGTCAGTCATTTTTACATCCACCTTTTTTTAAATAAATTCAAATGAATGTCGATGTAGTACACGCTGCGGCCACAAGGTGGCAGCAGGAATCAAACATTTGCATCACCTGTGTTGGTTCAACAGGGCCGTTTCCCTGAGATTATCCTAAATAAATTCAGTAAAGCTAACTTTAACAAACAGCGCAGGAATCGGGCCATTTTCCACTAATCGGAACACACCAATCATCAACCGAGTTAAACCCAAACAAAAACAAGCAGAGCAGAAACACGCGGAGAAGCCTTAAATCCTCATTTCGGCTCTGCCTCCATGGTTTGTGGTCGGTTAACAGCTGGTTTGCGCTTTAACCAACCTGGAAGCGTTTCCACTCTGTTTCGTTTCCCCAAAAGTGTCTCGGCAAACTCCTGCCCGCAGCGGCGTTTACACTTGCGGGGGGAATATTGGATTTGATGCATGATTTCCTGTCTTAAGCAGGATGGGGGCATGAGGGTGTTAGCGAAAATACAATGGGAGCACACATCCACGGCGCCTGTAAAAAGCTCTAATCCGACCTGACACGTTTACTGTTACGCAAGTAATCATATTTGCTTTGAATCAGGACAAATAAAAGTAGGTGGCTCTCAGAAAGTCAGTGACATTTATTCACCGTCGAGGCAAAAGGAACCAGGGGCCTGGAGACAGAACGCCTGATAAAAAAAGGCCTAAAAACCAGTTTAAGAGCGGCCCCTTTCATTAATGGAGTCACAAGCTCCGCGCTGCTGGCCAATCAGTGCTTTATTTTTCCAAATGATTCCATATTTACACAAAAAGCAGCGAGTTAATTATTTGACCAGAGGGGCGAAAAAACATTCCAGATCGCGGCGGTGGAGGAAAATGTTTGAGCGAGCGTTAATCACTACCATATGACCACCCATGTGTTAAAGGTAGAGCACTCAAGCATGTCTGTGATTCAACACCACTGGAGGAGTCCCCTCCTCTCTCCCTCTCTCTCTCCCAACCCCCACCCCTCCCCTCCCCTCCCCTCCCCTTCCAGATCTGAAGGAGCTCCAAGACACGAGGAATGCTGCCGGAGACTAGAGAGGCACCAGGAATGACGATTAACTTCACATGTTTGCTAGCTCCCACTAGCCAGCTAGCGGCCAGAGGGGCGGGGAGGTTCCCGTTACCTTGCTGGTTGCCGTGGCGCTGGAGCCCAGGACCACGGGCACGTTGGTCACCTGCACCGACAGGAAGCGGTTGTCGATCAGAGGCCACGCCCCCTCCACCTTGCAGGTCTGGAACTCGTCCCGGAAGGTGCGCAGGTGCGGGTCCCCGAACAGGCCGCAGTGGGCGTACTTTTTGGGCGGCCCGGCGGGCGGGGGGGGCCGGCTCTCGTAGTCGCAGAGCTCCGGGAGCGCGGGGCGCGAGGTGCTGGGCACCTTGGTGGAGGAGGTGGGGCCCTCGCTGGAGCAGTTGTGCTGCGAGAAGAGCTCCTTGATGCGGAAGACGGCCGAGTGGTAGACCAGGTCGCCGCGGCAACCGCGCGCCTGCCGGCGGGTGCACAGGGCGTAGGCGCGCAGGGCGATGCAGTAGTCCACGTCCGGGGACGCGTCCTCCTGCAGGCCGGCGGCCGGAGAGGTGGAGCCCACATACTCCGCGTTGCAGCGCTGGATTCGACACTGCTGGCAGTGAGCTGAGGAAAAGAAATTTGTTTTTTGAGCATTTTGACTGATTTTTCAAGAGCCACAGAATAGTTTGTGCTACGACTATGTAAACACCGAACACACCAAAAGAAAGAGTAGACTCTCTTCTTTCATCAAGAAAAAACCTTTGTTTCTACCTTATCCCGTTCTTCCTCGACTTGCGTCTCACCGGCGACATGTTCTCTCATAGCGAACCGTTACCTTTTTCTTATTTGCCTACAGTCTATGCTCATCTCCCATCAAAAGTGGCACTGCCCCCTAGAGGGTCAATTTGTTACTACATACTCTGTCTAGAAGCCGATATTTACGGACAAGCTTTAGCAGATCGTCCCCCAAGCCACTCGCGTTGAAAAACATAAAAGACGTCTATAGACGTCTTTGGCAGCCAATGAGTTAAAACGGAAACTACAGGAAAACACTCTCCAAAAAGGAACTCCCCCCCCCCGAAATTCCTCCGAGGGCAGACCCAGGTATCCAGAAATAACAAGACGCGATGCCAGTTCTAACAGCAACGTCCAGCAGACACGTTTATGTCCGAGGGCTTCCAGTCTGACCCCGGGGGACCCGGGTCTCAGACCGGGCTCCAGAGCCCGTCTCCACTTACTCCCCCCTCAACAAACCCCCAGAAAAACAGCTTCGGGTGGGATCTGGCCGTTAGAGAGGTCACCGAAATCCATTAAGATACAGTAAAGGCTCAAAGAACGACGTCCCAGAATCCCTGTTGCTCGGCAAGTCTGGATCCCGACTGGACGCCGGGTAAAAAAAAAAAAACTAGCACAGCATGCCGTGTTTAGGTGGTCAGCCTAAATCTTTGGCCTCAGGTTAAGGAACGAGCGGCACGCGGGTTATTTATCACCCAGGAGCACAAAGAAACACAAACGCAACTGTGAGGAACAAAAAAAAGGGGCAGAAATTCATCAGACTGATGGGTTTTACGGCTACTTTCGGAGCGTAAACTCCTGCTGGAGGGCAGAAATATGTCCCTCTCAGAGCAGGGGCTCAAACGCATGCATCACTTCTCCTGCTAAAAATCGGACCGACTAACACTGGGCCGAGTCCAAACCGGACACGGGGACCGGTCCTCCGTGGACCCAGATGACCGATCGCCCCTCAACTCAAGCTGAGATAGATCTGGGATGGTGTGAGAGGGGTCAGCATGGATGCAGATCTCCTCTGGAGTCCAGCCCCACCGCGAGGTCACCAAAGCACGATCACAATCAACAACCACAAACCTCCCCAAAGGCTCTTTAAAGAGCTCCCAGCAGTTGGGAGGACCAGAAGGGGAAACATGAGGACTGGGGGGGGGGGGGCGCAAAGCTCACTGTTAGGATTTCTATGGGTTTATTATTATTAGTAGTAGTAGTAATAGTACAAAAACAAACAAAGCCGAATCTTTTGCTCATGTAATATAATGCACACAGTGCATTTAAGAGAATAAATCCTGATATATCTGAAAAATTCATGGAAAAAGCTGATCAAAAACATTGTTTTCTTCAACATGGGGAAAAACTTCCATTTAATAGTGGCCTCTCCCTGATTTATTTGCAAATCGTTAAATCAATACTCACTTTCTCCAGCAGAGGCTCTATGAAAGCAGGATTTGAAAAGTTTGAAGTGTCTAACTCTTGGATAACTAATACCAACGCTGTTTACATATCAGGCAGGCGTCAGCCTTAATTTTCAGCCGGCCTTCAGAAAGGAGCAAAACAGGCCGAATTCAGAGCTGATGTGGGGCATCTTCCTGCCTTTATTAAGCAGGAATTAGTTCTAATCAAAGCAGGACGGGAAATGTGGACCAGCCACAGGCTAAGTTTGAGTCGAATATAAGAGCGGCTGGTGGATTTCAGACAAACAAAATAAAAATGAAAAAAAACATGTAGAAATAATGATTTAATGCTGGCTGTTGAATTTCAACAACTTATCAAAAGTCTGTGGGATCAGATTAAAAAACAACAACTGATCTTTATCCACACTGACAAAAATAACATAAAAAATACACTTATTATTAGTGGGATATTTCTTAAAACAAGGCCAAATGCCTTTGCATATGAAGCCAATCACAATGCATATTCTTTTATACTTTCTTTTAGGATTTAGACACAATAAAACATGAAACTAATCCAAATCAGAAATCTCCATCTTGATAAACACACAACTGAGACAAGCCGAGTTGTGGAAGCCCTCCGGGGTCAAACAGAGCTGGGTTTGGGGTGTCTGGTTCGGGCTGGTCAACACGCTCAGAGGCCACAGAGTTGGAAAGCTGGACCCCCGCGCGCGGTGGCTAACGGGGTGCAGCCCCAGAAACCCCCCCCGGACATACACCTCCGGTCCCACTTCCCCGGGACACAAAGTTCCGCCGGGCAGCGTTATGTGGCCGGAGAGAAAACCCACGAAGCTCCGTGGGCACCCCCACATTCACCCAACCACCCCCCCCCATCCACGACCTGCGCTGCTACCCGGCTATATGCTAACCCTGCGGGGCTACGCCGCGAACGTGCGCAGCTCCCGCGAGCTCCGGAGGCCCCGCGAGCCTCCGGCCACGCGGGGGCCTCGCTTTGTTTTGGCCCGTTTTCGTGGCTCAAAGACGGCTTGAGTTGCCCCGAGAGGTCCGCGCTATTAGCCGGAGGTGGGACTCACTCCGCACGGCCGGGACATGAGCGACTTTGTCCCCCCTCCAAACCCACCACACACCACCCCCCCAACACACACACAAACTTTGGAACAACAGCGACTCTATTCCGTCCGCTTTTGAAAAAAACTCGCCAGAGGAATAAGTCAGCCTCGCGCGAATTAGACGTAGAAACAAACTAATAAAAAAAAGTTCCGGCTCGACGCGGAGGAGGAGGGGGGGGGGGAAAAAAAGCAAACTTTTCCGGCGGTGCGGGACGAGGCTCCGGCCGGCATGCGGGACGCGGAGACCGGGGGAGAGAGAGAGGGTCTGAGAGGGGGCCCCCGCTTACCTGGTCGAAACAGCAGGGAAAGTAAAACCATGGTCAGCGTCGCACAGTCCAAAAGCCGCCGCTTAGCCGTGATCTGAGGTCCGCTTCTCCCCATACCAATCCATTCAGCTCGAATGGAGCTCCTCCACTGCTGCTCGGGGACGCTGCGGCGGAGAGAAAGCAGACAAAAACTCGTCTTCCTTCCCCAGCGCTGTCATTCAAAAAGGGGCCCCTGTCTTCAGGGCGGCTCTGCGAGGGAGGGGTCTAAACGCGTAGACGGGGCTCGGAGAGGTGATTGCTGGCCACAATGAAAGACTAATTATTCGCTTAACACTTGATATTTACTTGTAGTGGCAATTACTGGATAAGAGGACAGTGGAAAAGTGGCACGAACAACGGCGAGGGTGGTTTGGGACTCATAATTGCTCTGAATATTACCGTATAATCACAGTGTGTTGTGGTTAGAAGAGTTACACAACTGCTTATTATCTGTACAAATGCCTGGCAGTCAGAAAGTTGGAACCTTTTTTTCTAAATGTATTCAGAAGTTTAGCTTATTTTCAAGCAGTGCTAAAAACTTTTTTTTTTTTTTTTCACTGGAGCAGGCTCAAATATCCTGTTGGTCTCCCCCCTCCCCCTTAAAAAGAACAATGTTTGTGTGTTTTCAGCATCAAGGGGGATTTTGTCACCTGTTGTTTTCTCAGCTCAGCTTTTAGTGCTTTAAGAACCGGGTTTGATTGCAAGCTATCTCACGTAGTTGTCTCAGTTTTTGTGGTTTAAGTACAGAACAAGCCCTTTTTTTGAGGTTGGAGCTTACTTTATCCTCACACCAGAGAACGAGAAGTCACATCTGATTTGTTTTAGGCCGGGATTGTCCCCGTTGCCCTCCCTTTTAACTACAAGTTTGACTTCTCGCAGTTACGTTTCTCTGAGAAAAAAAAACACGCGCATTGTTTATTTTTCCTCCTTTTCAAAAATTCAGAGAAAATCCTCGCCCCAATTATTTTTCTCTCTCTGCAAATCTCAGCATGCTATTAAATTTTCCATTACATTTTCAGCTAGCAACTTGTGTGTTACTCTTTTCCCCTTCGTGGCCAACTTTCCATCTCTCTGGCTCTCTCTGTCTTTCATTTGCACAGCTGCTGTGAGCCCCGGACCATCTGCAGAGAAACACTCGGCCCTCCCCAGCTCTCAGCCCCAGACGCACGCTGCGGTTTTCTGCAGCGGGCAGGTGAAGAACCCCCGACGTGCACGCCGACTAATGAGGAGACGGCTGGCACAGACTGCGTGTCATTTCTATAGCGGAATCAAAAGTCGAAGCTTTGTGTAGTGCTTCTGAAACGTTGTGGGTCTCTCCCCCCTCAGATTTTATGAGAGCGAAGTGAACCCAGACAGTCATTGGATGGCTGGTTTTTCTGTACACAAGCAGCAGCACAATTGTGGGATTCAGGTGGGACTGTCGGTCCAGTGACAGGTCCTCACAGGCCCCCGGTCAGTTTGGGAGACTGATATGTGTACATATACAAGCCCAGTAAAAGAAACATATGCGTTATGTATGTATATGTGTGTATATGTGTGTATATATCTATATATTTATGGAGACAGCTCACTCAAAGTGGAACTTCTGGATTGTTCTGTGCTGCCAGACGGGCCTCTGTCACACTGGATCCACTGTGCCAAGTTTATCCCCCCGGAGGGATCTACCTGAGTCTGTTTATTCAGCTAATTTTGGAGCCTTGCTGAGGTGATTTGCTCTATGGCTGTGCTTTATGGTCATAACTTTAAGACCCCCACCCAGCCCCCTTTTCAACAGGTTGCACCTCCTATTGCTAACAACAGCTCGAGTGCAGAGCGGTGACTGAGGGGGGGGTGGCAGGAAGTCTTCTTGTTTTGTGGCGTATGGGAAAACGTGTCGGTTTCTCACCTGTTATGCAGGTCTTCAAATGACAGAAGCTGCATTTCCTGGGAAAGAAAGCACAACTTTTTTTACCTCATTTTATAACAGATCCAGATCAAACGCGTGAGAGCTAAAACTAATAATCTGAGTGTTTTATGCAAAAGCAGAAATACAAGGAGGCCGAGTCAAAAGCCCGGTTTTTCCTCAATGAGCTATTGTCCGGCCAGCGATCTGAAGTTTCCCGCTGTGGTGCTGATGACCACTGAAGCAAACAGTTAATTGATCCAGGTGGATGGTAAGGATGAATTCAGCACATGAAAGAAAATCAGAGACCGCCTGTCAGGCTTGATGCGTGGAGAAAGAGCTCTTTCTTCTTTTCTTTCCTTATGAGTCTATTGCATTGCATGCCCCAGCACATGTGTATGGACTGTTCCATCTAAAAACATGTTGAGCGGGGAGAGTGGAGCAGTGGGTGGATGACAAATGTGCACGTTGGGTATGGAACAAGAACAAGTGACTTGCTCACAGCGTCCGAGGAACAAAGAAAACTAAATAACCCCTAAGTCTGAAGTGGCTCCTTGAAGAAAAGACAAAGCGTCAGAAAACCTTGGAAAGTCTAAAGGAGCTGGAATGAATGCTACATAGCTGAAACATGGGGCGGAGAATGCCGATCGAAGCAGCAGAGTGAGGAAGAAAGAATGGGAGAATAGGGGGAAGGGATGAGGACGGGGGGGAGGGAGGGAGAGAGGGATTGGGTTTCCTCTGACAGTGTGTCTGGGCAGCTCCACATGTTCCTCATTAAGGTCCTCACACTGTGGGACCAGCTCCACACCAGGATGCTTGTTTTTGTTATTGGGCCCAACTCGCTGTGGTCGAGGGGAAGCCCCAAAAAACACGGCCGTCTTTTTCCGCCAATCGAATATAAACGGGCGGCCTATCGGCACCGTAAATACGCCTCCCGTCCAGCCCGTTAGCCGTGCGCACGCATTGGCAGATTCTGACCCCTAAAGCTGCCTGATTGCACAACCCTGAGCCATCTGTTGGCTTTGGTTATTAACAGACACAGTAAAACCTTAAAACTATTCGGCTTTCCCCGGAAATTGACTGTTTACAAAATAATAAAAAAAAGTACAGGGGCAGGAAATTGATAAAGTTTCATGCCTCTGATTTTTTTGTTTAATTTCATGCCCATCCAGATTTGTCAACTGAGACATGTATCGCGTTTCTTCTGGGGGCCCGATAACATCAGAGATTGGAATCAGAAGTAGCACGCACCCTCTGTGGCCTCTGCGCGCACCACGCGGCTGCAATAGAACACACACGCTTATTGAATTTAGCACAGGAACCAGAGCAAATAGATTGTTTATTTTTGTTTGTCTTTTTTTTTTTTCTTTTTTTTGAGGGGCCCCCGGTCCTAAAATGAAACGGCTTATGGCACAGCTGAGACAAATAATGAGCCGGAGTGCGGCGGGTTCAGGCCGCTCGCGGTTGGGGGGGGGATCTGTTATCTGTGCAGAGATAAGGGAAGCTGTGGTGTGAGTGTGTTTGAGGCACGGCTGATAGCATCTCCACTCGAGGATCTCACTTACGGCCCTCTAATTGATAGCTGTCAGCACACACAGGGGGGGCTTGTGGAGTGTTTTCCTAGGTACCACTCTGTAGGTATTCATGCGGGCATTTGCTTATTGTGTGTCTTTGGCTCTTTTGTCTCAGAGTAAGCAGCGGTTGAGGGAAGGGTTAGCCGATCGGGGAGATGCCCCGCTCCAAAATATCAAACCAATAGGTTTTATTCATTTGAAAATGTTGCGCGATTGCGTCACGGCGACTTTAACGCAACTTCACAACAAAGGCCCAATCCCTCTCCTTCCTCCTTCCTGCTTTTTTTTTTTTCCTGGAAGAACAAATGTTGACACAGCATCGAGCCCCCTCTGGCGAGCGGACAGTCCGCTGACAGGTAACTCTAGCCCCGGGGTCACGGGGTCAGCCCGGGCTGATGAGGGATGATGAGTAAAATAAATGAAGAGCACCACACAGACGTCCACAGCCCGAAGGGGAGAGAGTTCAGGGCCATTTGACCTCCGACCCCTACACTGTCTGCGTGTTTGTGTGCGAAGTTTTAAAGGGTTAAACCTTTTCCCAAACACAAATACTTCGGTATACCTCTGATTCTTCTCCTCTCGTTCAAAGGGTCTCGGCTTTATAAACAAGGGGTGAGGTATTTTCACTGCCGAGCCACAAGGCTGATTCCAAAGCACAACTTTGTTTAAACATGCCTCGTCTCTCTCTGCTGTCAGGCTGCCTTCACTCTCAGAAATCTACATTTCTCTGCGCACATCAGCTCGGCACCTTTTCTCCAACTCTCGAACCGAACGTGGGTGCGAGGGGAATGCTAAAAAACACTTCATTCCTCATCTAAAAATTTTGGTTTGGTGTTTCAGATCTTCCCCATATACCAAGACAGAGCAGGCCGGTCCCAGATGCTGGATGTTAGATCTCATGGATCATGTCTGACAGCAGCTATGTGCACGCCGAAGTAGAAAAACACCTTTCAATGCTTGGTGCTTCTCGCACAAGGGGTAAATTTCTAGTTAAATCTGTTTTCCTCGTGTAGGGCTATTCTCGTGAAGCTTATCCCGCATTTGTGTCAAAGCCCTCACTTAACCCGCAACAGTTGGTAGCCCATTGTTTCTGCCCTGCCCCCCCCCAGACAACTGTGCCAAACCAGGAATAGATGGAGAGACAATGACTGACACAAGTGCAAGTCAAGCCATTGCGATCCTTTCGAATCTAAAACCCGAAAGGCAACTTTCTCCAGCTTTCCTCCAGAATGGCTCACAGAATTTCGGAAGGTGGAGGAAAACGGTGACAGACGGGGGTAGACTGGGCCCCATTTGTCGCCGACAGCCGCTCTGTAAGGTGGGGAAGAGTTTGTGTGGAGCACGGGAAATCAATATGAACGTTTTCCTCCCCTCTGCGTTTTGAGCAGATGTTTCCAACATTCACAGAAGATACCACTCCTTATATGGCTATATGGGATCATGCACGCCTAAGACATAACCCAAAATCACCTCCCGTGTTAGTCAAGTTTCCATCAACACCCTGTTAGGCTACAAAACACACTGGTTCTATGCAGTAGATTGGATTCTTTTCTCTCAGCAGAACCCAGACACGCATTTCAAACAGATGAATTGATTTATCTTGAGATCTTGATTAGTAGTTTCAGGTGTGGAGGGATCTGAGAATATTTTCAGTTGTTACAGAGCGGAAAAAAGAGAGAGAAAAAAAACTTACCTTTGATGATATGCTTTTGTGGTAAAATCTGTAAAGTGAACAGGAGTGCTTCTCTGACAGCAGTTTGAAATGGCTGACAGCATTAACCCCTCGCTCCCCCTACAGCTTCAGCTGGCCAACTAAGGACCCCGGGCAGATCCGGGGGCAGATAGCCATCGGAATCAAGGCACATGACAACAGCTGTCCGTTTGACGATGCGGCACTTTGATTAGAGCGGGATGGTAGTGAGTGA